AGTAGGCTGCATACATATCATAATGCTATAATGTGAGGAGCATGATTAATTTAACCCTAAATAGTCCAAGAAAGAAAGCAAGAAAATAAAATAGAAAAATAAGTAGAAAAAATAAAAGTAAAGGGAAAAAATGGTAGAGAGGATGGGGAACTGAAGCATGGATCTGGATAGAAATTATCCTTGAGCAAGATTACGCCAAACCACAGAAGCCTAAGAGGATGATATTAAAATGGTATTATTAATTATAATAGCTTTAGCAATAACTAAATAAAAGTAGGTGTCAAACTTCCTTCTAAATACACCTCACGTCAAACCACAACTCTATTAAGGAACAAGGAACATTCCCTGCCATCTCGCTGTCTTCTAAGTCAGTAAGAGGTAACAGTAGGTGTGTGTTCAAGCCAGGGCCCTGTACAAAAGACAGTCTGGACTAGGATCTAATGGAGGTTTGGAGGAAAATAATACCCCAGCCCCTTGGAACCTAAGACTCAGTAAAAACCATAGAATAAGAACTGCACTGACATGAAGATGAGGTACTTCACAGAGGTCACTACAATTAACTTAGAAAAAGTCTTAGAGAACAGCTAGCTTGGTTTTTTTTTTTTCTTTTTGAGACAGGGTCTCACTATGCAGTTCAGGCTGGCCTTGAGCTCACTTTGTAGCCCAGGCTGGTCTTGAACTTGAAAAGATCCTCCTGCTTCAGCCTCCCGAGTGCTGGGATTACAGGCATGAGTCACCACGCCCGGCTAGCTTGGGGGCTTTTGAAAAGTTCTGAGTACCCTACTGCAAGCCAAACGTAAGTGGGGATCCAGTAGGAGAGGACACACAGCAGGGCTGCTTTGCTGGAGAGAGAGGGCCATGTGCCTACCTTGCAGCCTCCCATATGTCACACCAGCCCCACTGTCCCCTCCTATCGTGACTCCCAAGGCCTGTCGTCCTGGTTTTCAGGAAAGCGACCTACTGACCTGTCACAGTCACACAAAAGTGTCTTTCTGCCTGTCTTTTTTGCTCCTCAACTCCATGCATACTCCCCGGAGCCTGGTTACCAACAACTTTCTTGAGATACAATTTACATACTGTAACGTATCAGTAGGTGATTTGTAACATAGCTACAGGCTGTGCAACAAATCTTACTAATTCCAGAACATTTTCATCATCTCAAAAAGAAACCTGACATCGGTCAGCAGTCCCTGATTATTCCCTCTCTATCTCCTCCTTGCCTATTCCAAGGGTCATGTAGTATGCGGCCTTCTTTTTTTATCCATACCAGGGATTGAATTCATGACCGCGTGCTTGCAAGGCAGGCGCTTATGCCTGCTGAGCTGAATCCCCAGCCTTATGTGGCCTTTTGACACTCGGCTTTGGGAATAGTTTTTAGACAACTGAAGATTACTGTCCTCTCTGTTCCCTAAAGTACAAGACAGCTAGGCTACTTCCTGCACTCCAGCTGAGGTGAGGATTACCCACCTTTCCCAGGAGCAGGTGGCCAGAATAGCAAGCTCCTCATGGCCTGGAGCGCCATGGGTGCTGGCCAGTGCCCAGAAAGGGCAGGCTAGGGATTTCTCTGATATTCCCAAGTAACAATCAAATCAGTGGATGCCAAGGAAACTGCTCACTCACAAGATTATGACCATAGCTTAGATGTACACAAAGACTTCTTTTGTGATTCTTCTTTACAGGAAGTTGAAATCAACATGTTTGACATTTTAAATGGAAACACAGCAAAGGAAGGCTGCAGAGGGGTGGTGGCACTTTTGGTTTACTTTAAATTTTGGTTTTCTTATCTGCAAAAGGCTGTAATAATGCTTGATGTTCAGGTGGTAAGAGGAGTAGAAATAATAAAAAGTGCTCTGCATGTGCCTGATGCACAGAATTACTGGGAAAGGCAGCTGCTAGCAATAGTCCCAGGGCAGGATAGCCACAGCATGACCCAGAGCACAGGCAGGCTGGGAATAAGACTGGCTCTGTCATTCAGTGTCCTGTTCTGCCAAATGGAGATGATGAAAGAACCTATCTTGTAAGGTCATGTACGGGATCGGCTAAGAGGACTCAAGCTGATGCTTACTGAGGCTCACCAAAGCCAGGCACTCTCCATGCATGAGTTCACTCAGTGCTTTCAATAAGTAGGTGCCAGATACCACTGCTTTCCCTATCTCACATCTGAGGAAACTGAGGCAAAGTTAAGTAGCTTGCTCAAGGTTGCTCAGTGGAAGTGCTAGTATTTAAAGGAGTGCCTTTCTTCTTTGGTTTGCTTGAGCAGTTTAGTTACCCTCAGTCAATCATGATCCAAAAATATTAAATGGAAAATTCCAGAAATAAGCAACTTATTAGTTTTAAGTTGTGCATTATTCCGAGTAGTGTGATGAAATCCCAAGCCATTCTGTGTGAGGCATGAATCACCCCTTTGTCCAATGCATGAATTATGTCTCTTTGTAAATGCCTTAGTCTGTGTTGCTTGTATTAACCACCCATTGTTCACTTAAGTGGTAATTTAGCTTATTCAAATCACCTGTCATAGTGTCACACTGCTTATATTCAAGTAATCCTTATTTTATTTAATAATGGTTCCAACGCACAAGTGTAGATATGCTGACAGTTTCATTATGGCATATTGCCACAATTGTTCTATATTATTATTATTTATACAAGGTCTCACTCTGTAGTTCAGGGTGGTCTTGAACTTGCAGCAATCCTGTTGTCTTAGTCTCCTGAGTGCTGGTACTTTATTATTTATTATTGTTGTTAATCTCTTACTATGTCTAACCTGTTATCTAAACTTTATGCTGGATATGGTGACACACACCTGTAATCCCAGCACAATGGGAGACTGAAGCAGGAGAGCCACAAGTCTAAGGCCAGGTTGGGCAATTTAGCAACTTAGCAAACGTGTCTCAAACAGTAATAAAAAGGATTTGGGATGTCATTCAGTGTGAAAGCCCTGGGTTCAGTACCTAGCACTGCCAAAATAAGCAACCAAAAACAAACAAAAACCCTGTCATAATCTTAGGTAGCTATGTATAGAATAGGTGTATAGGATTCAGTACTATCTACAGTTTGGGACTCCACTGGAGTCTTGGAAAGCATCTTCTAGATGAGAGGGCACTACAGTAACTCCAAGCAGTCTGTTGCAGCATCTACATGCTTCTCTTGTATCCCAGACTATCGAGGTTTTAGCACAGTGCCTAATACAAATGAAATCTCAAATAAACATTAGCTATCGTGGCCCTGAAATGATAATTATTTTTTAAAAACATGTTTTCTCAGATGTATTGGGTTAAGGCATTTAGCTATGGTTTTACTTTTGGTAGAGGAAAGAAGCTGGATCTTTCCTATCTTTGTATCTAAGAATACTTGGAACAGAGTACCTGGCATAGAATGAGAGCTCAGGTCTTACTGAAGACTGAACTTTCAAAACGATGTGTCTGTTTTTGTTTTTCATAGCCAACATGGTGGCCTTCTGAGGAAGACTGGCTGCTCTGCAGCTGGACTGGATCACATTTGAGCCCCTGTGGCCGGCCACTTTTGCTCCCCAGGTCACTGTAAGGCCATGATTCTCATAAACATTTTAGTTTATCTGTTCGTTGTTGCGTAATCTCCATCCGCTGACTTCACCTCTTCCATTGCCCCATTCCAGACACCACACCCAGACCTGCTTCTCTCTCCACATGCACGCCAGGTCCATTGCACAATCAATTTTCCCACACACCGAAAGTTTCCCTCTTTATTTTGCACAGATCCACTCTGCCTGTCAGTCTTACAACTGAGTGACTCTCACCTCCCACTTTACTCCAACCTCCATGACTTCTGTTATCAAAGCTGTTGAGGGCCCTCATGGCGGACCATCAACACCAGGCTCTGCAGCTCAGAGGAAGCAAAAACTAGGATTTCACCATCAGCTCACTCAGAAGTCACTCTCTGTCGGTGTGGCCCTTGGACAGAGGCCAGGTGCTGCTGTCTTGTCAGCAGCCTGGGGCTCTCCGGGATTCCTCCGGGACTGTTGTATTGCTCCAAGAGCCCAGAGACAGGCCCAGCACACGTGCACACACACTGCACCAAGCCTGTCATCAAGGCATTTTCCACGTAGAAAGCCTGAACCCTCCATAAACAGCCAGTTATGGAAACCTGCCTGGCCTCCCTGGATTCCACTAGAGTCCAGTGAGAAAAAGCCTTAATTTGTCTCTTTGTCCAACTAATATGAGTAATAGCTTACTGGTCGTGACCAACTCAGCACTTGGACATGTGTGCCCAGAGGCTCAGCACTGACCTAGCATGGGTCAGATAGAGGGTGAGGATTATGACCCAGAACGTGGCCTGAGTGAGGCTCAAGGGCTCCTTCTGTCCTCTTTAGTGTGTGCGTCACACTTGTATTTTTAGTTCTCTCAAGATTTCCTCCTTAACTTCCTTCTGAGCACTCCTCTTGCTGCATACACACCAACCTCCATTTGCCTTCTTTATTCATATGGATTTTTTAAGCTTTTCTTTTACTAATGAAGCTATTGGCTCCCTACTGGAAAAGCTGACATCCATTTTGCCCTTATTCCCTGACTCCCTGGCCTGAGTCAGACTTCAAGTCCTCCTTGACCTTACAAGAACCTTAATTTCAAGGTCATTTTACACACATATCTTCACTTTTCTGTACTCAGGTGGAACACAATTCAGCTTGTAAGCTTGATCGTTACTTGGCCTCCCATCTCATTTCTCTCTTGGACTTGGCCAGTTCCCAGCCAGTATCTTAAGAATATTCTCTTATGTTGCCTGAGCTTAGAAGAAGGGAAGGGCACTGAACCTGGAGATGTGATTTCCATCTCAGAATCACTGCTTGAAATCAGCGCAAAGTTGGGAAGCTCAAGGTCAGCAACAAGACACTGTATAGGAGAGAGCTTTCCTCCAAATATCGCTTGGTGGGAGCTGGGAGACTAGGATGCGAGCGCTTCAGAGGAGTCTTGTGTGAGCTGCTGTCTACGTTTGGTCTTTTCCCAGGGATTCTTTCTGCCTCCTACCTGTGCACATGACAGCAGCAAAGACCCAGCACTGCCCATAGCGCACTGGCTGGCAGCCTGTGGCATGCCACTTCTTTAGGATGGCCACGCTACCGGTCCACTCGGCAGGGTTGACACCATCTAGATAATTCTCACTCCAGTTTCCGTTGAGCACACCATTGTCATCGTTGCTATTGATCTAGAAAGAAACCATACAGAAGCGTGAGAAACATCCTTTCCTTCAACAGGCTGTGCTGTGTGGGCTGGCTTGGGGTGTCCAGGAATTAAGTGAAGTGATAGGCTATGCCCAGCTACCTCGGAGCTCAGCTGAGAAAACTTGTTATCCACATTTTGATGTCAGTCTTAAGCAACATGGCTTTGGTAGGGAGCCAATCTTTCAATTCCTTGCTCCCCCTTGCAAGGAGACAGGTACAGGTTCCCTCACCTGGCTTCCTCCCTCCTGGCACTTTGGGGACCTCACCATGGCACACACCACTCTGCTGATGTAGACAGGGTTTCCCCGTAAGGCGCAGTCTGTGGCAGGGTCGATTTGGAAGTTCAGGCTCTTGTCTAGCAGCTCCAGGCAGATGTCTATGATATTGTCTTCAAACTGCAAGAGGAGGCCCAGAGAGGGAGGTGCTTACCGAGCACACGGGGCAGGGGAGGGGTACATAAAGAAGCACACGCTATACCCTCTCTAGCTCTCCAACGGATGTGCCTATGGAAAACAAACCCATTTGGAAAGTAACGGTCAAACAGAAGGCCCAGCCTCCCAGGAAAGTGTGGGGTTTCCAAGCAAGCTCTAACCTTTGTGTGTGCCTTGAATGTCAAATCTGTCCCTCCACTTATTCTGAAGAGATGGTTGCTACTGTTGGTTTTTTTTTTCTTGGTGGGTCTGCCAGGCTGAAAAGTGTTTCTCCCCTTTTCCCCTCTTCTACACTCCTGGAGCACCCGAGATGTTCTTGCTTTTTCCGTACTCACTTGTGACCAGCTTATCACTGGCAATCAGGCTGAGAGGATAGTGCAAATCTGCCACAGCCCCCACAGCGGGGTGGGGCTCTGACCTAACCCACCAGTTGCACATGCGGAATGGAACATCTAGCCCAGGGTATCAGCCCTTCAGGCCTAGTGCGCGGCCACTTTCCCAGGCTTGACCCAAACCTGACCACAGCTTCACGCTGCAGGCCAAGGATCTCAGCCCCTTCTCAGACTCCCTAATCTGAAGACATCAAGGTCAGTCTTCCTTGCCGGAGGATATGCTCCATGTGGGTGTAGCTCTTTTCATAGCTCTGGACCCCAAAGAGCACAGTCCCTCACATATAACAGGTGTGGCATATATCTTTGTTGAATGAGTGTAAATGAATATATTATTCTGATGAAAACCAGAAACATGTAGAAGTAGATGTTTCTGATCCATCTTCTTCAAGGGACAGTCTGGCCAGATCATTTTTCTATTGTAAAATGTCCAAAGGCTCCACAGCCTAGAGAATCAAAGTCCCATGCTCTTTCAGAAAGCACCAAGTCCCTCCCAGAGCTGGCCCCTGGATAATTCTCAGCTCATGGCATGATTTTTGCTCCAGTAAATTATCTGTAACTCTACCAAGAGCCACACCATTTCCGGTCTTGTGCTTTCAGTTGGCTAAACCAGTTCAACATCTCCCTTGCCAAGAAGCTTCCTGACATCTCCTGCATGGCAAAGAGCTTTCCTCCTGATTTCCAAATGTTCTGCACTGTCTCTCAGTCCTTACATACCCTACTCTGAGGTCAGTGATCTGCATGTATCCACTCAGGCCCCCACTACACTGTGTGATCACGGGCTGTGTTTTATTCATTTCCATGTCTCTAGTGCTCAGCACACACAGACCAGACAACCAGCTTGCCTTAACTGAAGAAGAACGGAGGAGAACCAGGGCTTGGAAGGCAGCAACCCCCCACTTTTGTTTCACTGGGGTGAAGCCAATGGCAGGAGTTATTGAATATTGCAATGAATATAATATCTTTACATCTGAAATCACATGTTTTTAGAATATGTGTAGGAAGCAAAGCATAGAGGAACACATGTATACCCAGATGGTGACAGTACTTAGATGACCTCTATGCTCCAGGTGTGGGGGCCACCATCAAGAAATAAAAAAATAACAAATGCTGGCAAGGCTGTGAAGGAAAAGGAAACTTTCTGCACGGTTGATAGGAATGTACACTAGTACAACCCACTGTGGAAATTAGTGTGGAGGTTCTCCAAAAACTGAAATTAGAAATTCCATTGGATCCAGGTATTTCCTTCCTACATCTTTCCAGAAGAGTTAAAGACATCCTACTACAATGATGTTCGCATACCCATATTTATAGGAGCACAATTCATAATAGCTAAATCCTGGAAGCAGCCTATATTTCCATCAACAACGAATGGATAAAGAAAATGTGGTATTTACATGCAATGGAATACTACTCTGCCATAAAGGAAGAAACCTGAGTCATTTGTAGGAAAATGGATCCACATTGGGATCATTATGTTAAGTAAAATAAATCAGACACACAAGGTTAAATATTACCTGGCTTATGTTATTTGAGAAACCCAAAGTATAAAGGAAAATAAAAGGTAGGTACAGAGAAGAGGGAGAAAAGAAAAAGGGGTGAAAAAGGAATTAAAATGTGTTATGTACATGAGCCAACTCCACACAAAGAATGTAAACATTATGTACTGCAAACGTGTACTAATAGCTGGGTGTAGTGGCACATGCCTGTAATGCCAGCACTTGGGAGGCTGAGGCAGGAGGATCATCGCAAGTTCAAGACCAACCTGGGCTACAAAGTGAGCTGAAGGCCTTTCTGGACTTCATAGCAAGCTCCTGTGTCAAAAAGTACTAATAAAGAAAATGATCTGGAAAGAAAAACCCCAATTGTGTACTTCTTTTATAATGAGATGACTCATTAACAAAATAAATATACTAATAAACTGAATTGAGAATGAAGAGGCAATAGTCATGAGGCAGGAGATGCCCTGCCCTTCCTTAGCCCTGGTCTGGTAGAGATGTTGCAGGGAGAGGTCCCATCAGTGTCAGGCTCGATGCTTGGCTGCACGGCTAGGCTTGTGAAGATAACAAGCACAGGTGCCAGGCGGCATCACTGCTGTGGGACAACTCCTTTCCATCCTCAGGAGAGCTGCTCTTTTCCCTTAGACCCTGGCCCACGTTTCCCTCCTGCCTTAATACGGCTGCTTCTCTAGCTGCTCAGGTGGCATCACACACCTTCCTTGTGCTGTTAGTTAGTGCCAGTTGTTAGCTCAGCCTGGTCTCCCTGCTCTTCCCAGCAGCCCAGAGTCCAGACGGGCTGAGACTCACCTGTCCATAGTTCCATGGACATGGGCGAATCCAGTTCTTGTTCCCCTGGTAGATGAAGCCATAATCATTCACAACGTATTCTTGCCTCTGGGGTTCACTGTCCAAGTAGACGGCATCCCCTCAAGACCAAGGAGAATAAAGCAGAGGAGTCATCTTGCCCTTCCTGTCCCATGTTTGTCCCCATGGTCCAATGGAAACTAAAGCAGGTACCAAGAAGGGCTGAGGTGAGGGGACTTTTGGGAGCTCATACCTCCAACACCAGCAGCAGGCGTAACGTGAGAATGAGGAGGAATGATGTGATTTACCTTTCATGAAGTGTTTTGGTTTACATGCTCATTCTACTTAAAGACTGAGAAAACAGACTCAAAAGTGAGTAAATAACTTGCCCAAATCACACCTAAGGACAGAGTTGGAATCTGAACACAGAGCTAACGCAATGGCGGCTTCTGTGCCTTCTGCTTTGTTCAGCTAACCTGGTCTGAAAAGAACAAACTGGAGCAGGAGGGTTGGCATTGTCCTCGTCATTTGTGTTGTAGGAATTTAAGGGAAGAGACTTGCTGAGGTTATGTTAGATACGAGCTGCCCAATGGAGTGCCTCTCATAATACTGGAAAGTGGAAACAATCGAGCCGCTGCTCTTGGGCTCTAGCCAAACAGCCCCCACGAATCTTCTCTGTAGAATTTACATAGTATTAACATAAGGTGGCAAATATGGGCATGGAACTCAGTATGTTCCAAATTGACCTTTGTTTAAAAAAAACTGCATGCATATGCTCACAGGCTTTTGAAACTTCTTGCAAAATACATTAACAGTAATTTTTTTTTTTTTTTTTGCCTATTGGTTTCTCCAGAATTTCTGCAACGAATATGTATTACTTTCATGATATGAAAAATTATCTATTTAAGGTTAAGAACAAGCAAACCAAAGGCCACGATGGGCAGGGTGCTTTATGCAGGGCCTAGAATTACCTGAATGCCCGGCCTGGGACTGAGGTGAGGGGCCTGCTGCTGTCCTTGGAGGCAGCTTAGTTGCAGCAGGGACCTGGTGCTAAGATGGGAGGACTCCTGCCCTGGTGTGTTTTTTCGATGGTTTGGGCCAGTGGTGAGAAGTTGCAGGTTCTGGCTGAGGCCACATACCTCCCTGAGCTACAGGCTGGGACCTCGTAGCAGTTCCCCAGCACTGTGACATGGCAGCGGCTGGATCCTGGCTGCAGCCATCCCCATTCCTCATCCCAGTCTTCTGGGGAGTTGGCTGTGGCACAAGCTTGGAAGAGAAGTCTGTGTCCTTCCCACAGCTCATGGAGGCCCTCATTGAAAGTCTGAAGCCACAGACATGTGTTTTGTGTGTGTGTGTGTGTGTGTCTGTCTGTGTGCATGTGCAGGTGTGTGTGTGTGAGTGCTAGAGAAACAGACCCAGGAGGATACACACAGACACACACAGAAAACAGACAGCTGGCCCTCCTGGGTCCAGGATAGGCCTCTTCCCTTGGCAGGTGAGTGGCCATCCTGACCATTCCAGAAACGGAGGTAGAGGATAGTGCAGTGTCAGAACCCTGCTGGGGTCCTGGGTCCCAAAATGACCCAGCAGACACCCTTAGGATAAGGTCAGGAGAGACCCCAGAGGGAGAGGAAGGTTGGGAAGGGGCTCATCCTCGTAGTAGACAGAAGCAAGACTTGATGAGTCTGACCTCTGCCTAAGGCGCACCAAGCCCACCTGCTCTCAGAGATCTTCTTGCCCTCCTTCCCACTCCCTCCTCCTGACTGTGCTTCCTCTGTGTCCTCAGATCCATCCACTATCTACCCCTGAGCTCAGGGGTTAAGGGTTAGAGGATGGGGTGCAGGGATGCTCCCTGTAGCTTTGTTCATACAAGAGAATAACTCCAAACAGCTAGAGTACTCAGGAATAGGGGCCTACTTATAAATATTTGGTGTATCCAAGCACTGGGATGATTGAAAATATAGGGAAAATGTTCTGAAGGAAAGCACGCTTACAGCTGAATACTTTAAATGAAAATACACATTGAAGTAGTATGTATTTTTAAAACCCCACTCACAGCATCTATTGTAGACACACAGAGGCCTGTTTGATTAAATAAGGCTATGCACAAGTGTTTACAGGGTTTCTGCAGGAGAACAGAGCTTGAAGATTGAGAGGTTTTACTTTTTACCTTATGCTTTTTTTCTTTTCTTCCTTCTGTTCTTTCCTGCTTTTATTTCTTCCTGTCTTACATTTTACTTCATTCTTCAAAAATTTAATGTAGTTTATTTATCATTAAAAAAAAAAAAAACTGAGCCAGGAATGGTGCTGCACACCTGTAATCCCAAGCATTCTGGAGGCTGAGTCAGGAGTTTTGCAAGTTCTTGCCCTGCCTGGGCAATTTAGCAAGTTACAGAGACCCTGTCTCAAAAAATGAAAAAGGGCTAATGATGTAGCTCAATGTGAGGACCATGGGTTCAATACCCATCATTGCAAACAACAACCATAGCTTTAAAATAAATAAATGAAAAATCAAGTAGAGTTAATTTTTTCGATGAAGAGTGCTGTTAACAGTGGTCAAACTTATAATAGTGTTCTATTTAAGGAAAAAATATTGGTCTCCTAATTTAAAAATTCTAATAAATAAATAAATAAATAGCAAAGTGTCCCTGCCCTGGTTGCTAGTAGTTGGAGTGGATGCTGTATTTAAGGGACAGGGAGCAGGATCTGAAAACTCTCAAGCCCAGCTGCCTGTGTGCCACAGATGATAGAGCCCCAGGACCCCGCTCACCTGGACACCAGGGATTGAAGAGTAGGATGAACTCCCCAAGCTGGTAGGCGGAGACAGTTCCCTGGAAGGAATTGATGTGAACTTTCAGCACATACCGACCCACAGCTGCCATGGGTGGGGCACACAGGCTCACTTCCAGGGAGGTGTCCCCCTGCATCTCCGGCAAGGCGATCCAGGAGCGGGGCCCACCATGTTTCCCCAAGCTGAACACTGCCCGAGTCCCTTTGGCCAGGTCTGGCAGGGGTCCTGGGAGGAAAGTAGAGCTGAGACCCGCTATGGTGACCTCCCAGCCCGACCCTCTAAGATCTACTTCAGCCCACGCGTAAGCACACACCCTCACACCCACACACCCGCTCTTTGCGAACCAACTGAGAAAGGGTCTCACCAGTCTCAACCACAAAGATGATGTTGTCTACGACTGGCAGAAAGCCACGGTTTCTGAAGTACAGGGTAATGTTGAAGGCTTGGCCCCTGCGAACGAGGAGGTGGTCCACACTGATGTCCTCGGTGTGGTGGTACACATTGTTCCAGGAGCTCCGGAGGTCTGAAAGGGCCACCTCTAGCCCTGTGAGGAGACAGGCAAAACAGCAGAGTTGTAGAGCGTGGTCCAGACCTGTTCATCACTTAGTAATTGCAAACTTGAGTTTCCTTGTTGATGAAATAGAGGCTAAAATACTATTCTGACAAGATCAGAATGAGGGCTGCATGACACACCCTGAAGGTAGATTTGTCCTTCCTTGCTTCCTTCCTTCCTTCCTTCCTTCCTTCCTTCCTTCCTTCCTTCCTCTCTCATTCCCTCCTCCCTCCCCCACTTCTTCCCTACTTCTCTGACCCTGTACCCTTTTCTTCCTTGTGCCCTCCTGGAGGTGACTGGTCTTCAGCCTTTGCCTGACTTCTTATCTAGGCCTGCCCAAGCTTGGTTCTTCTACATTGACTTTCTCGGCCTGAAGTTAACAGTCTTACCTGCCCATGGACCAGCCTCAAAGCCTGGGAGCAGGTCACTGGGTTAGCAAACCCTGGGTCAGTGGTCACTGGATTAGCTGCGCTATATTTAGCAATTTTCAAACTTTCTGATGACCACCCATCCATCCCATGTGCCCAGAATCCTGGAAACTTAGATGCTGAGGAAAGTCAAGGAAGATTCCACCCAGATGTCGGAGCTTCTGCTAATACACAGGCTGATCTCCTGTTCTCCAAGCGTGCCCCTCTCAGAAGGGATCTGTGTCCACCTTCTTGTTTGATCATAGTTTTGTCACTGTCCTCAGTAATTTAGGGATGGACACAGCTTCAAGTTACAATCTCCTCTGTCTGTAATCCATTGTGTGCCACCAAGTCCCTTCACTTTTTCTATTAAAATGTCTCTCATATCCATCCCTCCCTTTCCACATGCACACAATTCCATTTACCTAATTCCTAGTGACTGTACTACTTCTGACAGGGCTATCTTCTGTGCCACCTCCTACCACTACCCCTTGACACATTACCAGTTACAACAATTTGATCCTGCCATTCTTTTGCTTTAAAAGTTCTAAGCTACCATAGTCAATCATATAAAATTCCTTTACTGACACTTGGTACCCTCCATGGCGGACTTTATGTTTACATTATTACTTCCCACAGCTCTCCAGCCAACCTGTCTCAAAAAAACGATCCACTTGCCAGTCTGTGCACTTTGTTCCTGCCATAGGCCCCACTCAGAATTCCACTTTACTATTTTACCAAATTCTACCTGTCATCCGAGATCTGCATCCCTCATAAAGCCTGCCCTAAATGGCCCATGCTTTTTGCTATTCCCCACGCTTCTATAATTTAGCCATGTCACTCTAACTCTGAACTGTTTAACACATACAGTTAATTTACATGTCATGGTAATTTGTTCACTTATGACAATGCATTTTTACTAAGAACCTACTAGTTTCAGGCTCAGCATTTGTTGTTCAAATATTTTTCTCAACTATTTTGTATCTGTTTTCAACCACTAGATGTAAGTCAGCAAGGACAAAGACCTCTCTGCCTTTTTTTAAAAAACTATTTTAAGATTTAAAAAAATGAATCAAGAGACCCAACAAAATCCAATACTCAACATACTAAGAATAGAAAGCATTTTCTCAACCTGGTAAAATGATATCAACAAAAACCTGCAGCTGACCATATTTAATAGTGAAAGGCTGATTCTTTCCTTCCAAGGTGCAGAACAGGGCAAGGGCATGTGCTCACTTTGCTTGTTGTGGCTTCTATCTGGATCATGCCCCATGCGGTCAGGGGTGAGAGTTTTGGGAAGTGACTGGGTCTACTGTGTGTGATGCTGGGATTGATCCAGGGTATGAAGTTAGGGCAGGTGGCCTGCATAGAATATAAGGGACAGAAAGAGGGCTACTGTTGCCACCAGTTGCCTGCTGCCGCTTCTTTACTTCTTCACTATTTGTGGGTCTCTGCCCACTATGGGCTGTTTCTCCTCTGCGATGGCCCTCTGCCCTGTCATCCCGCCTTGGAGTCAGTCAACTATGAACGGAAACCTCTACAAATTGTGAGCTACAGGTCAGAAGGAAGATGGCGGATCTGGAGGTGCAGTTGTGTGATGAAGAGAAGCAGCGACAGCAGCAAAATTCATCATTCATGTCCCTCCTGGAGAGTTTAATGAGGTTTTTTAATGATGTTCGGTTATTGCTTAATAATGATAATGTCCTCAGGAAAGGAGCAGCCCATGCATTTGCACAGTATAGCTTGGATCAGTTTACTCCAGTAAAAATTGAAGGTTTTGAAGATCAGGTATTGATTACAGAACATGGTGATTTGGGAAATGGAAAGTTTTTGGATCCAAAAAACAGAATTTGTTTCAAATTTGATTGCTTAAGAAAGGAAGCAATTGATCCAAGACCTACAAAGCAGAAAATGCAATTGAATCATGGAGAGCTTCTGTAGGAACTGCGCTGTGAGCATACGTAAAAGAACATTACCCGAATGAAGTTTGTATTGTGTATGGTAAAAAAATAGATGGACAGCAAACCATTATTGCATGCATAGAAAGCCATCAATTCCAAGCAAAAATTTTTTTGAATGATTGTTGGAGGTCAGAGTAGAAGTTTACAATCACACCTTCAACCTCTCAGGTGGTTGGCATCTTGAAAACTCAGGTTCATTATTATGAAGATGGTAATGTTCAGCTAGTGAGTCATAAAGATCTACAAGATTCCCTAACAGTGTCTAATGAAGTGCAAACAGCAAAAGAATTTATAAAGATTGTAGAAGCTTCAGAAAATGAATACCAGACTGCCATCAGTGAGAATTATCAGACAATGTCGGACACTACTTTCAAAGCCTTACATTGACAGTTGCCATTACACGTACTAAGATTGATTGGAACAAGATCCTTAGCTTGTAGCTAATTGGCAAAGAAATGCAGAATGCATAAGACGAACTTTGCATGTCCGGTTCATTTTAGTAATCTTTGCATTTAAAAAAATCATTGCAAAAGTGTTCAGAACTGTTAAGCTGCCCAAGTGGGCTATTGCCATGTAAAATCAGTGTAATTAATTAGTTTGGTTAGAGCACAAAGTTTAGCTAATCAACCATTCTTTTCTTTTGTTTGAAGAGAATTGAAAAAAATGAGTTTAAGCTAAATGTCTTTTACTTTCTGTACTTCCTTTGTTACAATGAAGAGTTGATTCCTCTAGTTTATGATTAAATTTTTTAAAGTATTACAAAATATTTTACTTAGTATAACCCTAAAATTGTTGTCTTTGGCTTATGAAATGGGTAACTTTTGATAGTACCCCAATTCTTTTTAATAGACATTCTAATTTAAGGTGGTTGATGGACTACGCCATTCATGCTGCTAAAGAAATTGTCTACCCCTCCACCACTTCTTCCACTTATATAAGATTGAGATTACAGGGAAAGCAATTTTCTATATCAATTGTGGGTCAGTCTTTCAGTAAGGTTATTTAGCTAGCTTAGTGTTGAACTAAACTTTTTTTAAAGCAAGGTCTATTGCTGTTTTGAGATTCCGAAATTAAAAATGAAAACACATCATAAATGCATTTAATGTTTTTTTTCTTGTGACAATTATGCAAGTTAGGTTGAATTCCATATGTTCTTGAGTTATTTTTATCATAAAGCCACAAATATAGTATAACAAGGCAAATTGTAATATATATAATCCTGAAATCATGACCATGTCTAAGTTTATTTTTTTGCTTGAATTGAAATGTACTGAAAATCAGTGTGACATTAAAGGACAAACTTTCCTAAAAAAAAAACTTTCCTTCCTTTAACTTTGGGTTTAGGGTATTTTGTCTCAGTAATGAGAAAAGTAACTAAGATACCTCTCTCCTCACTATTAAAATGGAGCTGCCAGCCAGGCTATTAGACAAGGAAGAGATCAGACATACAGGTAGGGAAGATGAGGCAAAACTGTCCCTATTTACACATGATATGACCTTTTTTTTTTTCAGAGAAAACACTGGAAAATTAGAATATTATGTTTTCATTTTTAACTTTTAATATGTTTGCAACAAATAATAATTCTAATCATCTTGGTGAGTTAGTACACATGCAGATCACATCTTTATTGTTTTACTCCTCTTCTGCGTTCTCCCCTTGCTCCTCCTTCCCAGAGCCCCTCGATACACAGACATAATCTTACATATAGAAAATCCTAAAGAATTTCCCACCTCCAACTTAGAATTAATAAATACATAAATTTAGCAAAGTGCCAGGATACATCAACATACACAAGTCAATTATTTTACACAGTATTTCTATACTTTTGATGAATAACCTGAGCACAAATTTTAAAAAAGCAATTATTATATAATTGCATTAAAGGAATGCAATACTTAAGTAAAAAATTTACCAAAACAACTGCAAAACTTTTACCACAAAATGAACCTCAAAAAAGAAATTAAAGAATATGTAAATAAATGGAAAAAAATCCCATGTTCACATATGGGAAGATATTTAAAGATGCAACAAAACACCTGCCAAAATTCCAACGGCCATTCTACAGAAATTGGCAACTGAATCCTAACATTCATGAGAAAACACAGGAATCCATAATAACCAAAGCTATCTCAAAAAAGAAAATAGAGAGCTCATACTTCTCTGTTTTAAAAGTTGCTACAAAGCTACTATCCTCAAGGCAATGTGGTAGTGGTGTTTGTATAGACTTAGAGTGGAGTAGAACTGAGAGGCTAAAGTAAACCCATATTTAGTTAGTTAATCCTTTACAAAGGTTCCAAGACAGTTCAATACGAAAATCATATTAGTTTTTAAAAAATCATGCTGGAACAAGAGGCTGCACATATGCAAAAGAATGAAACTGAGTGCCTACCTCATATGAGACACAAAATTAACTCAAAATTGAACTTCCTCAAAATTAGTAACATTTTCTTTCATAAACACTATAAAGTGAAAAGATAACCTACAGAGTATGAGAAAACATTTGTAAATCATGTTTGTAACAAGGGGCTTCTATCTATCATCTATCTATCATCAATCAATCTATCTATCTATCATCTATCACACAACTCTACAATAGAAAGACAACCAAGATATAAAATGGACAACTTATATGAGTGGATGTTTCTTCAAAGAAGACATGTAAATAGTCAATAAACACATGCTTAATATCATTAGTATGTAAATGAGGTACTACTTCACATCCATTAGGATAGCTATAATGAGAAAGACAGATAACAAGTGTTGGTGAGGAAGGAACCATTACAGGTGGGCTTGTGAAGTGGTATGGTACTTTGATGAACACTGGCAGCTCCTCAAAGTGTTAAATGTGACACAATCTTGCCAAGAGAGTGAAAATGTATGTTCCCCCAAAGCCTATATGAAAATATTGATAGAAGTCTTATTTATAATATTCCTGAAGTGCAAACAACATAGCTGCCCATCAACTGATGAACAGATTGACAAAATATGGTGTATCCATGTGGGGTTTTTTGTTTGTTTTTGGGGGTTACCAGGAATTGCCCTCATGACCTCACGCTTGCCAGGCAGGCATTTGAGCTGCTGAACTACATCCCATGGTGTATCCATGCAACATAATATTATCTAAAAGCTGAACCTGCTATACCATGGGAGAACCTTGAAAACATTATTCTTAGAAAAAAGAAGTCAGACACGAATGCCATGTATATAATCAGTATATAATCAGTTTATATGAAATGTCTAGAATCCACAGAGACAGGAAGTAGATGGGGGTTTGCCAGGGGCTGAAGAAAGATGGGATGGGATATAACTGCTAATGGCTATCAGGTTTCTTTTAGAAGTGATGAAAATATTCTGGAACTAAGTGATGGCGGTGCTTTCCCCCTGTGCTTGAAGAGAACATCCCAGTCCTGCCAGTTGGAAGGCAGTTAGCTTTTTCCTGGTAGTGGAAAAAGCAGCTCACCCCTTTTGGAGCCGGGCTGGCTAGACAGGGAGCACTAACTGGCTCTGGCTCAGGTTGAACATGTGACTCAGGCTACTCAGCAGGTGGGGCAGTATCCGCCTCAGGGTGAGCCCTGCAGCCTGGTCTCATCCTCTGCGTACATAAGGAACAGTCAGTCTCTGCCTGCAACACAGGAGTTGCTCTCCAGCCCAAACAGCAAACATTCAGCAGGAGTTTTGTTTTCTACTGGGCAGTATATGTTCTCCTTGGGGAAAGGGGAGAATGAGGAGACAGGATCAGGGAATTAATGAGGAGATGATGGCAGGAGAAACTACGAAAGTAAGTGATCTCAATATCTGTCCTAGAGAGACACTCCCTGCTGTGTACAAGAGGCATGCTTAAGGGTGTTCACTGTGACACAAACAACGCAGTGCTCATCTGCATGGGGCTGGATCAATACAGTTCTACACATATGACACAATACTATGCAAAGTGGAAAATACTGACAGACTAATAGGAACTGATCAGCATCAACAAAGCTCTGAGACATACTTTTGAGTTAAAAACAAAATCAAGTTGTAGGATAATACTTGCAGTATAATAAATCATGAATATCTTTAAAAAGCTACACATGTCAATCCTATGTAGGACACTGAGGATAGACGATAGATAGATAGATAGATAGATAGATAGATAGATAGACAGGTGATAGATAACAGATGATGATAGATAAATAAATGATAGAGGATAGATACATGGATGTGTTACTGGTAACAGTGGTTACTCTGGCAATGAGATTGGGTTGAAAATCAAGTCAGGTTATATCAGTAATTATTGTTTTACTTTTTACTCCAACTATGTACTGATATATTTACTCTGTAATTAAAAGTTATACAAATTTTAAAATAAAAACTTGAACACAAAAAATAGTAACTGCAAGCCAGGCTGTGACATTTGTAGAGCAAGTTAAAACCCATCTTTATAAAAGATTTCAATCAACCATTAAATCTTCATAGCAGTTCTTTCTAGAGCAAGGGGGATGATGGTGGGAAGATTAATGAAGATGAGGAAGAGGCCCTCTGAGAGGAGGAAAGAAAAAACATCCATAGAACTTCAGAGCTGGGAGACAACTTCAAGCCTCTAGTCTAGTCCCTTCCATTTTTCAGGCATGGAAGGTAGAAACTAGCAGAATGACTTGCCCGGTGTCAAGAAGTCAGATAGTGTACACTGAGCCCCGATCCCAGACCCTGCCCCTCACCCTAGCTGTGGAAGCGGCCATGTTTACCTGTCAGCCATCCCCTTGTTCCTGGGCCACCAATGATTTCTGAGGATGCTGGGGTCTCTACTCTTCCTTGTCCAGCTCTGTTTTTCCTCCCTCTTTTTCCTTCTGATTCCACCCCCATCCCAACTCTCAGGACTTTCTCTGTGAAGCCCTGAATACCAGTGGCCCCACGGGCTTTCCCTACCTTGGGCCATCGTGGCTGCTCCAGGCTCTGGGGCTGCTCCCCACAGAACAGCTGGGTGGACTGGAGCTTCAGGAAATGGACTGCAGAGTGTCTGCTTCCTTTTCCATCCCAAGACTCTGGACACACCAAAGGCGGAGCCTGGCCCTGCACTGCCGCTTGTTTACTGGGCAGATCACAACTGGTTTTCTCACTTGCCCTCTGGTTTTTCTTGGCGGGTTGCTCAGCAGACAGGAGGTGAGGAGGCTGAGGAACCATCAGAACTTCATGCCACGTGATCTTTGACAGCGCTCAGGCAAGGGGGAGGTGGGGCAGCAGGAGGGAGAGGTGAGCTGAGCTGATGGCGACCTCAGGCTACAGAGGGGGCTGTACCTCTACAGAAAGGAGCACCAGGGTCCCAGAACTACAGCTCACACCAAGACAGCCTCCTTGAGCCCTCTCTTTTATCCCGAAGAGTCACTTTTTAGACATAAAATACAGGCCAAACCACCTTGATCATCCATGATATATTTCACTGTATTTATTTTGGTAGAGGTGTTGTTTTGGGGGAGATCTTCCAGGTCCAAGGTGAATCTCAAATAAAGACAGCACAGGAAGATGCACCAGGGGGATTCTCAGAGGAGTTCTGGAAATAGGTAAGCCGATAGAATGTCAGGATTAAGGACTTCGGTCCTAATGAGAACATAAGAGTCCTGAAAGTGAACACACGGGGAGAAAATCACAGACAGAGCAGAGTGGGAGGCCAGGCTGGGACACACCTGCCCTGCCTCTCCCGCAGTGGGGCGCCTCTGCCTACACCATTGTTCTCTGGATCTTTCTGCCTCAGGAGCCTGCTCACTAACATTGTCCTTTCTCCTGTATTCCCAACTCTTTCGGTTCCTACTCAGCTCCTTTCTCTCTCTGTGTCTCTGTCTCTCTCTCTTCTTCCTTTCTTTTTAGTACTGGAAATTGAACCCAGGGCCTTTTCACTGGGCTACATTCCCTGCCCATTTTTATTTTTTATTTTGAGATAAGATCTCACTAAGTTGGGAAGTTTCGCAGGCTGGGCTAAACGTGCAGTTCTGCCTCAGCCTCTGAGTGCTCTGGGATTACAGGTGTGCACCAACGTGCCCAGCTCCAGTCAGCTGATGGTGTTCATGTGCACAGACACAGTTCACTGTTTTAACACTCCTGCGCCTGCTGCTGATCAGCTGATGGTTCTTTCACTCAGTTCAGACACAAATCACAAATCAGCAAAGTGCAGTTAATGCCAGATTCTGTCAGTAAAACCTACCAGTCGCTGCTCTGTTGGGTGCTGGTGTCTGGAGCTCCTCAGAACTAACAGCCCCTAGCATTTATAGCTCTTTCTTTTAAAGCAACCACTCTACATACGGAGCCCCTCTGATCCAGACCTCCTCAAAGTCCTGAAGAGAATATGTTTGTAATCCCAGGGAAAATTATTGGAATTCTAGTAGGTAAATTCCCATCTACCACTTCCAGTGCAACAAGCAGCAAAAATAAAGTGACAAAGACACACTTGTTGTGGGAGCCAAGGAATCCTAAGTCCTGTTGGAACAACGGCTTACCAAAACGAAGGCCATGACCCAGGGCAGCACTGGGTTTTATTAATTTGTGAAGCGGGGAGTGGCTCAGGATTGAGTGACAGTAGTGGGAAATATGAGTAATGTGAGGTGGGCTGGGTAGGAGGATGATAGCATCTCTGCAATACGCAGAGAGAGGCTTGCAGAAAGAGCACCGAATTCAGCCTGGGTGACCTTAGGTAGCCTCTAAGTTTGGAGGAATCTGTGTAACACAGTTTGAGGAAGCATCTTGTGTTTTTGGTTAGTTACCTCAGCTTTTTCTGAGCCTTCCTGCCCTGGGGTGTCACTGTCCCTTTCTGGAGTCTCAGACCCAGTGGACAGTGTGTGTATCTTAGCCTGGCTCACACTGAGTGATAGGGAGCTATAGGCGGCCATCACTGACATATCCCATTGCTTCAAAGGCTAACATCAGTGCCTCGGCTAGACCCCTTTGCATTGCTTAAAGCCAGTGGAGGGGGCAGGGTAATTTCCTAGCCAGTTCTGCACGTATCAATGCATGGAAGTAGGGCAAGAGTGGGCCAGAATGGAGAGAGATGGCCTTATCTCAGGGAACGCCATCTCACATGTATACACTACTCAGGGTACATTTACGAGACCTAAACTTACACAACCCAAGAAATAATGAGCGCCCAAGAGAAGCTTTGTTTGACCCACAAAGAGGGGTCAGCATTCCAGAGGGTGGCCTCCAACAAGTGTGAGGGAATGTTGCTTATACTGCCACAGCAGGCCTGTACTTGGTACAGATTGTAGCCAGCTGATTGGCCCAAACTGGTCTACACTGAAGCTTCTGATCCAAGCTTAGTGACTGGTACACAGTCAATGCTACTGCTTAGTTAAGTTTGAGCCTACTGCAGTCAGGCCAGACATCCCCTGGAGCAGCTGTGGGATGTAAGGACAGCCACAGCTTTTGGGGCTGTGCCTCAGCAGAATGTAGGGGAGCTGTGGATTGGTTAACAGTTGTTGCATCTCTGCAAAAAAATGGTGGCTCTGAGACGGGGAAATCATCAGCGGGGCTGGCTGTTAATCACAGTTTACTGGTGTTTGGAGAGGTTGGGGATGCTAATAATGCGCCTGGATCCACTGTTCTGTAAGTCAACGAGGGCACCACAGCTGACAGACAAGCTGCACCTCTTACTGGAATGGCCTTGTAGGTAACACTGGCAGTGGTAGGAGGACCCTGAGGGGAGCTGTCCCAGTACCTCCTGGTAGGGGGCTCAAGGAGGAGCGAAGAGATGCAAGGGGAGGAGGGGACGGCAATGGCAAAACCACACTCCCGCCAGTGTCACAGGAAAAAGAAGAAAATCTGATGCTCCTCATCACTTCACACTCATCTCAAGCGCTCACCCTATGCTCCCCTCTGGCTCCCGCACCTTCTCTACCTCTTAGCCAAGCCGCTGGGCAAAAGGAGCTCTTTTGCTTCCACTCACTCCTGACCTCTGCAGTCAGCCTCTGTCCCAGCTGCCTCACCTGCTGTCTCTGATGGCCAGGCCCTGGGCATCCTGCCTTGCTCTTACCTTGGTGGCCCCCTGCAGCCCTATTCTATCTATCATCTATCTATCTATCTATCTATCTATCTATCTATCTATCTATCTATCTCTGTCCTCATTTAATCTCTTCTCTGCATCCCCCTTCCCACGCCTCCCTATCCCTACTCTGATTCTTCCCATGGTTTTGTTTGGGGGCTTCTCTGCTCTCAGTTCACTGATTCCCTCATGGCATTGTGACCCCCGGAACTGTGGCTTGCAGGCACCACCTGCTGGACCACTCCACCATGCCAATTTCAGATACCTCCCACCCAACAGCCCAAAATGGACTTTGCCGCCTCTCTGCTTCCTCTCAAAATACATCCTTCCTCCCACAACTTCTGGTCTTGGTAAGTGACCAATGTCTATGGCTATGTTCACCCAATCATTGCAGAAAAATCTGAGTCCACCTCATGTCCCTCCAGCTTTCCTAGCTCCCTTTAACCCATCAGTCCAGGTTACCTCCTAACATGACACTTTCTGTCCCTTGGCCCTGCCTTTGCTGAAGCCTCATTTTCCTGGACAAGAACTCTGAGCTAGTTTCTCACCATCCTTTCTCCAAATGGCTCACAGGAGATTTTTCTGAAGTGCTCAGTCTACCAAGTTGCTCTTCTGCTTAAGATCTGACAGTGGGTCAAGCCCAGACTTCTCAGCATCATCCTCCAAGCTCTTGAGGGTCTTTTTCTCCTCGCCTGGAGTCTCGGCAGGAAGAACTTCGATGGAGACCCTTCTCCTGTTTCTTTGCGCTCTCATGTGCTTCTCTCTCTTTCTGACTTGTCTACTCTCTACAGTGCCCAGGCTTGAGCATTCACTCTGGGGAGGCCTGTTGACACTCTCCCTCTACCATGCTGGGAGTTTAGAGGGCTTGCCCTTCTGCATTCCTTATTATCCAGCATCATAGATACTTGCTGATCTCACCCATCTCTTTCCCCCAGAGTCATGGATGGTGTCTTATTAATACTATCCCCAGTGCTTAATAGTGACAATAGCTAAGAGTAAGAACTACTGATAGAATTAAAGTAGCTTTTAAGTAGTACCAGATATGGTTTTAAATTTTTGACATGTATTATCCCACTTAATAGTGATATGTATAGGGCTTAAGCGTTCTTGTTTTTGTATTCAAAGAAGAGGAAGTCAAGTCATAATGATCTTGAAGGCCCAGATTCTTCACGTAGAACAGGTGAGCCAGCTTTTGAGTGCAGTCAAGTTCCTGAGCTCCATGAGGGCTTACTGTATTATCTGAAGCCTGGTCAGTTTCCCAGCTCATGTATGCTGCTAACAAAATGGATGAACTAGAATATGGCCCACACGTGGACAAGAGGACCAATGCCTGGACACACGACCACATTCTGGGATGGGCTGCCAGGGGAGGATAAGGGGACGTGAGTACAGCCACCTCATTGTGAGGAGGGACAGGAAAGTGAAAGGCAGGGTGGACAGCTCTGGAGAAGATAGTCTTTTGATAGCTACTGAGACAACATGGTGTCCTGGAGCCAGCCTAGAGCACCTGGGTAAGCTGTGAACATTTTGGAGCCACCAACATCCATTGTTGAGTTGTCCCAGTCCATGTGGCCTGACCTCTGAGCAGCTCTGCCCCCTCCACGCCCTCACTACACCTGGAGCAGGATGGTACACAGATCTCACATGGTTGGGAGGCACCTGAGAGACTTGTGGACAGGGAGTGCCTGGAAGCACCACAGGGCATGATACTCCTTGGTGGGGCCAGGAAAATCCACAGCACCTCCTGTGCCTAGACCTCTAGGGGCTGAACGAGACCTGAGCCCTGAGCCTAATGAGCTGCTTTACAGGTTTAGCGTTTCATTGGCTTCCTATAAACCCTTAGTCAGAGGGTGTGTGGACAGGTGCAGAGCGGGAATCAGCTGGTCAGAGCGGTATGTTCCTTGGTCCAGAGAAGCTACGCAAGGTTGATGAAGGCCCTCATTTCTGGAAGGAAGCAGGGCTGTGAGCTCAGGGGTGGGACAGCTAAGACAAAGATATGGACACTCCCACAATTCCTATGAGGCAGGACAGCTTGGGGACCTGAGGGTGCTGGCTCCAGAGCTTTCAAGTTCCAGAGAAACTTGAGGGCCAGTTCTCGCCTACCATGGTGTGGCCTTGAGTAAGTTCCAGTTTCCTGGTCCACAAAATCAAGCCCATGATACCTAGACACCCAAGTCTGAGGGAAGAGCACAGAGGTTCCCCACGGATGGTTGAATACAGAAGCCAGAACTGACAGGCCCAAGTGTGTCCTCTGCTCCCTCCTTCTTAGCCCCAGAAATGGAGACCGAAGCCCAGGAGAAGGGCTTAACATGCTCAGAGGGCCTCTGCATGTGAACGTACTTAGGAGTTTACAAAGCTTTTTACAGTCCACCTTCTCATCTGATCCTCACAGCAACCTTGCAGGGGGTGGCACTGCTATTGATGTCATTTTACACTAGCGAACAGATGCTTTGCATCGTGTAATGATGCTTGATGTCAAAGGCCCCAGAATTGTCAATCCAAAGGATTTAAGGATGTCACTGTGGAAGGGGATGGGGAACAGAGTCAGTGGCTGTGGCTGCTGAGCTCACCTGAACACCTCCCCACTCTACTCTCCAAGCATTGCTTTTGCCTCTGCTCGACTGTGGGAGCCCCTGCCTGGTCTATTGCCAGCTTCACTGGGTGGCTGGGAGGTATTTGGTGGGGAAGTGACCCAGGGTCCAATTTCATAGCAGTGGGATGAACCTTGAATCCTGAGGCCATGTTTGAAGGCGACTTCAAAATGGCATAGCTCATTCACCATCAGAAGTGGGACAGTGAAGAAATAAGAAAGCGTCACAGAGCGTGGCGAACAGCCAGATTTTACAGTTTTTAGGTGACAAGAGGGAAAACTGTGTATCAGCTGGACTGAAAAAACTGACATAACTAATTTCCCCCACACCCCTGGGAATCCCCTCACTGTTCCCCAATTTGGTGACACAGCTGAGAAAGGACAAGAAGGTGATGCCTCAGCAGAGAAAGACATGGCACTCAGCAGACAAGCAAGGTGTTACATTTCCAAAGGAGGCGGCACAGAGACACCTGGGTGCCCAGAAATGCCCAGCAGGGCTCACGGGGCAGGCTAATGGGGCACACAGGGCACAGTGCAGTGTGCAGCCTCCTGCATCAAGGCCAGACAGAAAGGAGGACCACAAGCATGCAAGACAGACAGAGAGCGGGAAGAGAGAGGAGGAGCCAGAGGAAACTATGAAGAGCCACGCAGAAGGGAAGAGTGGGGTCCACACCTGAAAACCAGTGGGAAGATGCTCTGCTTTCTGTGTCTGCTCAATGATGAAGCCAGGCATGGTGGGGCACACTCGGAATCCCAGCATGGAGGAGGCCAAGGCAGGAGGACCACCTCGGGCTACCTTTGAGACCTTGTCTCAAAGAACGATAACAACAACAAAATTATGAAGTGTTATTGAAAAATATAGTAAATGTTTAAAAATATATTAAGTACTGTGTAATAACCTGACAGCCTTCCTCAAAACACTCCCTATTGCTTTTAATACAAATGTCCCATTATTCTTGCCACTTTCTTGAGCAGTTTTGGAGTCCTTTTTGATAAATATCTTCCTGAGGTGTGACAAAAAATTCAGTGAACGCTGCTGCCATGCAATGGAAAGACGGGCTTGCAAGGACACGATGTTGTGTCCTCATCCGCCTTACTGACCAGATCAGGCACGATGTGACTTCTGGCTTTTCCGCAAAGTCAAAATGACCAGGAAAGAGAAGTTTTGAATCAGTTCAGGACATTGAGGCAGCCACAGCAGTGCAATTAAGACCCAAAGAGGCCTTCCAGAGCTGCTGCCCAAAGTGGCACAAATGGTGTGTTTGAAGCAAGGGAGAGTGCTTTTGAGGAGATTAATGGAAATTAATGTGTGGCCTTTACTTTAATATTTTTTAACTTTTTTTTTTTGTCTTTTTGAGATAGGGTCTCACTATGAAATTCAGGCTGGGCTTTGTAGCCCAGGTTGGTCTTGAATTTGCAGTGATTCTCCTGCCTCAGCCACCCAAGTGCTGGGATTACAGGAGTGTACCATCATGCCCAGCTATAATTTTTAATTTAAACATTACCTGTATTTCTATCATACTTTGTATGTATTAGAAAAACACATATATTTACAATGACAACTTAAAAAACATGACAAAAGGGGGGAAAGGACCATAAAGATTAGAAAATGTTAGCAGAAGCTGGGCATGATGATGGCACATTGTGCCTGTAAGTCCAGCTACTTCAGAGGCTGAGGCAGGAGAATCACAAGTTTGAAGCCAGTCTGGGCATCTTAGCAAGACTGTGTTTTGAAATTAAAAACAAAAAACGTTTCTAAAGGGCTGAGGTGCAGCTCGGCCCTCCCTGGGTTCAACCTTGCTGTCTCCCGGCAAAAAAGGGAAGAGATTTCCCCTGAGGTTGGAATTTTTTTTTCTTTCCAAACTAGCAAGAAGGAACACAGATGATTTTGATAACTGTAAGGAAAATGGCACAAAAGAGTGGTTCTCTCTGTCCTGAAAATAGCAACATAAAAGAAGCTGAGGAAAGTTAGGGTGACAGGGAGAGGGTAAAGATTAAGCGGTGCAGGCTAGAAGGGGGCTGGGGCTGGGAAAGCAAGGGCACAGTGCCCACTGAGAGGTACCTCCCAGTCCTCCTGGAGGGCTGCACTGGGGGTCCCGGGGTAACGCATGTGGGATGTAAACCTGCCAGGAAGGGGCTGCCCCGCCGTGCTGGGTGCTCCCAGGTAGGCAGCACAGATGGTCTGCTGGCAATGGGCACAGCGCTGTGGTGTCCTCTGCAGGGCTCCCTCTGCTTGAGTCTTACTGGGCAGTGGAGAGGGAGAGACCTAGAGCCTCCATTCCACAGAGGCCATGAGAGGGCTGTGGAGTCTATCCTGTGGTAGAGGCCCTTTAGGGAGCAGGCAGGGGCTCAGGGAGCAAGAAGGTCCCCAGTCACAGAGCTGGCAGCTAGGCCAACAGGACAAACTGGTAGCAATAAGTGTCTGATCAGGGCAGGAGCTGCGACACGAGGGATAAAGAATCTCCATTGTTTCTTCATTTGCTCCCAGGACCAAGGTGGGGCAGGACAGGGAAAGCAGCAAGGAGGCTGAGGGACATCAGGAAGGCAGGACCTGGCTCAGGGAGCTGCAGCTGCGGCCACGAAGATGTCCTTGTAGCCTTTCATCTCCTTGATCTCACTGCTGCTGATGAGGACCTGGAGCTGGCGGGGCCCAGCCTTACTGGGATAGAGGTCCAGGTGAATTTGGATGGTGTCTCCAGACTTCAGAGTCCCAAGTCTGGAAGTCAAAACGATGCTGTTAGACTCTAAAAGAGTGATGGACAACTTGGGTGGGTGTTTGGGGTCCCCTGTGGTGGGTGAGCACCTGCCACTCCATAGCACCACCGAATTCCCCCTCTCCTGAGGAGGCCAAGGAGTAGAGGCACAGGGGCACCATCCAGAGTCTCAGGAGGAGACTCACAAGGGACCTACTTGAGAGGCGGACAACGGTATTACTTACTCTTCTGTTATCTGTCCATTGATGAGGCCACTTCCTTCCAGCACCATTGTGCAGTCATTCAGGGCCACTGTGAGCGTATTGGTAAGTGAGATCTGGACCTTCAGGGCCTTGCCCACCTCAGCTGTCTGGGACACCTGTGTAGACAGAAGACAGAAGTGTCCTGGTAATGGGCCTTGCTTCTGCCCTCCGGTCAGTAGCCTTCCTTCCCTGTCTCCAAGGACTGTTACTTCGAGATAGGATACTGCGGCTGGGAGGGAAGACTGGAACTGAGAATATCTAAGGTTAACACATGTGCTGGCCTGTTTTGGAAGTCAGGATATTCCAGGAAGCTACCATCCTGGAGCCCACTTCCCTCCCCACCATGTCATTCAAGATGCCTAGTAGATTTCAACTGAAGGGCTAGTTGTGAAGGTTAGAGGTGTATAACATTTATGCTGAGTGAAGCGGCATCCTGAGAACAAATACTATCAACCACAATTAATTAGTAATGTCTGGTGCAGGCACGGCAGAAGACAGGAGCCTCATGTGTGCCACTGGTGTATCAGTGAAGCCATCTTGACCTTGCACTTTACCAGTGAGGATACAAAGAGGCCAAGGTCCCATGATGTGGGAAGGCAGAACCAGGCCCTGACCCAGATCCCAGCACTGAATCTGTTCCATGCTGCTGTATCCTTCTGTCCACTCAAGATTTTTCAGTGGTGTTCAGTGCTTCAGCCTGTGTCACAGCAGCACAGCCTCGGCCCATACGGGGAGGCAGGGATTCTGTCCTACTCACTTCTGGAGCTCACTCCTGTGCCTAGTACAGTGCCAGCCAGGTGAGGACTGTTGGTAAGCAAGTCTTGAGCTGAAATGAGCTCTGACCAGTAGGATGTATGCTGGCTTCATCAGAGAATCAAGGAAAATGAAGAACACACTCAGGTTATTTAGAATTCAAACAAAAGGCCAAGTCCATATTGAGGGGGTCAAAACAGATAGGGTTAAAATGAATTTGGAATCCAGGAGAGTCACACAAACTATCCCACAGTCCCACACCAATGGGGACCAATTTTCAGCCTACTCAGCATCTGCTGTGCTGTGCTGTGCTTGAACCCTGTGTCAAGCAGGGCTCTGCCTGGATAATGGGCACAATAGCTGCTAATCTTCGCCAAACATTATTGGTAGAATGTCACCTCTCCTAGGCACACCGCCCTGCACTTGGTACATGCTGCTCAGTAACCATCACTTTGGTGTCTGGGGCAGGACAATGTCTTATTTGCTGCCATCCCCCAAGACCTGTGCTGGATGAGGCAGAGAGCCCTGAGGCCCCATCTCTGCCAAGACCTCACCTCAATAGACAAGTGTGGAGGCTCCAGACAGAGGTCTTTTACGACCAGCATGGACCTCCCAGTCTCTTCATCCTTGGCAATGCCAGACATGCGGATCAGCTTTTCATCAGTCAGCTTGTTTCTGTAATTGGTGAAGGGCAGCAGGAGTGGCCAGTGTATCTCTGCACAGACAAACACATCTTGAGTCCAGAGCATGGGTCAGAGATGGAAGGAAAGAGGGAGGGCGGGGAGAGAAAATACACAGGTAAGAGAAAAATGTGAGTTTTCATGTAGAAAAAGAAAGACAGAGTATTCATTCGACCGACACAGATGGCCTCTGGAGCTCACTGCTGTTCCACCTGGCAAGACGGTTTCTGAGGTACCGCAATGGGCATTTCATCAATGGGCAGCAGCCCTCTGCCTGCACTGGCTGTGCATGCACTGCCGGGGGCTTTCTGTGATCTGGCCAGACCAACCCAGCCCAGTTCACAGACTTGAAGTCTTGTCTTTGTAGGAGCCTCCTCAGGCCAGTCTCATACGCACCTTGCCCAAAATCCAGGTCCAGGTGCACTGCTTGCTTCCACAGGGGCTCCCTTGTGCCGCCCCCATGCAACAGGGCCTGGGCACAGAACCGCACCTCCAGTCTGATGGGACCCTGGCGGTGGGTACTGTCCCGCACCCTCTGGACATGCAGGGTGAGGAGCAGGTCCTGGCCCCACGTGGGAGCCCTGGCCAGGTAAAGCCGCAGCCGTGCTGGCTGAGACTTAAAGGCCGCAGAGCCCAAAAGATCCAGGAGGGACGAGGAGGCCCCTTCTTGTCCCAGCATTTTCCGGGAAGCCTTCATGAATACAGAGCGCTCCTCCGGGGATCCTGGCAGGACAGAGACACGAGAAAGACCTCAGTGAGGAGGAGTAGAGACAACAAATGCCTTCCAGCTTTCCTCCTGAAGCTCGAAGAGCAACGCGGCGACCGGGCTGCAAACATGGGCGTTGGTGCTGCTCACTCTGACTCCGCGTCCTTGCTCTGCTCCACCAGGGTCTCTTCTTCCACTGGGGCTCAGGATGATACCAGCACCAGCTGGCCTCACAGAGTGGCCCAGAAAAGCTGAGTTAAGTGTGTTGCTGAAATTAATCACTCAGCACTGTCCTTTGTCATCAATACAGCCACCTTCACCATTTATCATTGTCATCTGGTTTATCTGACCCTCCAAACATCCTGTCTTCTAAAATATTTATTTGAGTCTTTTACATAGAATCCCTTGTCTTGCCTTTGGGGGCTACTCAACACTGAGGAAAAAACAAAACAAAACATTGAAATATGGCCTGTGTTAACCCCACAGTGTGACTCTTTAGGAGCAGTACCTGTGCACCAGAGGGTCTATCCACAGTGCTGTCCTGCATCAGCTCACTTAGCCCTCTGAGCTGTCCCATTTCACAGATGAGGAAGTGGAGGTGTGGGGATGGCAAGGCTCCCACTTTACACAGCCAGAACATGGCATGGCCTGCTCAATCCTCAGGCATCCCCGTGGGAATGTCCACTCCCTCTCATGGGCCCTCGAGCCCTTTCCCTCCTGAATGTCCACCTCTGCCCTTGTCATCACCTCTACTTCCGTGGACAGACAGCAGTGTGACCCTGGCATAGAGTTGCCAGATAAAATACTCCAATTAAGTTTTAATTCCAGTCTTACACAACAAGAAATTTCCAGTACAGTATGTGACACGCAACATTGGAACGTTTATACTAAAAACACAGCCATTGCAAAGAAATAACTACTTTTTAGTAAATTTCATGTACTAATACAATATTTGCTTACCTGAATGAATTTGGAGTTGAAATTTAACCAAGGGGCTTGTATTTTTGTTTGCTAGGGCCACATGCTTCCTGGAGTCTGCCGTGAGGAGGCACCATCCCAGGAGCTACACCCACCCTTCTGCAAACCCTGGCCCAGGCACCTTCTGGATACTTGTAGACATAGGTGATGTCTTGGCGCTGGTCTGACCCTACCATCTTGGTGCTGATCTCTTTCCCGATGGCACTGGCGTTGTGGGCCAGGATTTCCTGGACCGTGCCATCCTCAAAGAGCCAAATGACTTCATCCGCATTCACCTCGGCGAACACAAAAGGTGTGTCATAGGCCAGGTGGACATCCCCTTCTTTGATGGCCTTCACAGAGGCAGGGCCGCAGCAAAACAGCCCTGTGGGTGGATAGGAGTTGTGGGGTATTGTGCTGATATGTGGGCCAGCGTGGCTGGATGCAGCCATGGAAGGTAGGGACAAAGGAGAAGCAGTGGCACTAGTGACCTTTACCCTTGGGGTGTCCTCCACTTTACCAAGCTCTTTCCCTGCATTAACTCATCTGGGCCTCTGAGCCACCATGTGATGTGGCTATTGCCATCACCCAATTTACAGGTAAGAAAATAATAAAGAAGCCCAGTGACTTTTCCGGGCGACCCCACTGTCAACCACAAAGCTGGATTCACCATCTGAGGCTGGCTTGGCTCCACCTCTGGGTAGGGGTGAAATGGGAGGAACATTTCTCCCCTCCAGCCTCCAGGTCACACAGTCCCTCCCAGAGATCGGCCCGCCTCTGTGGTCCTCACGCACTGCTGCTGGTTTGCTGGGGAGTGGGGTCCAGGACCTGCCACCCGTTGTATCCCGGTGGGAGATCTTTCCGGATCATCCAGCACTCATTCCAGACGTGAAAGTTCCTGCGGAGGGAAGAAAGGACACAGGTTTATATATACTGCGGATTTGCCAGGTACCAGGTACTAGACACTAAGATGGGTGTTTGTTGTTCTTTCTTTTTTCTTTTACTGTTTATTAGAAAGTAATTCCAAGCTTGTAATTGTAAGAGTAGTACAAAGAACACTTACCTATGCAATTCCTGTGCTACTAATGGTTTTTTCCACTTTTTCTATTAATATGAATATGAAGTATGATTGAACAATATGATAAATGTTTAAATTTTAAAACTGATTACACTAAAAGACATATTAACACCCCTTAAAATATTCCCCCTTCCTTCAAACACATCTATATGATAGTTCTTGCCATTTTCTGAAGCAGTTCTGGAAATCCTTTCATAAATGTCTTTAGCTGTACTGCTGTGGCTACCTCAGCATCCTGAAGCAATTCAAAACATTTACCTTTCATGGTCATTTTGCCTTTAGGACGAGCCAGAAGTCTCATGGTGCCAGATCCGGTGAACAGGTGGATGAAGACACCTTGATGTTTTTGTAAGCCTGCCTTTCCACAGAACGGCATTTGGCAGCAAAATTCAACATGGGTTTTTTTAAAATCATACTTCAGAAAGACACCCACAAAACAAGACTTCAGAACTGCTTCAGAAAGCGGCAAGAACAATGTGTTAAGTATGTTTGAAATGAAGGGGAATATTTGGGGGTGATTAATGACAATATGTCTTTTACTGTAATCATTTTTAGAAGGCATTCACCACATTTTTGATCACTTTGTGTGTACACACTTCAATATGTGTTTTCTTTTCTTTTTTTCTTTCTTTTTTTTTTTTTTTTTTTTTGTCTTTTTCATTTTTATCGGTACCAGGGATCGAACTCACAACCGCCTGCTTTGCAGGGCAGGTGCTTATGCCGCTGAGCTAAATCCCCAGTCCCTTCAATATGTGTTTTCAAGAATAGGGATATTTTTCATGTAACATTTAATCAACCTTAGCACTTAAAATTCCTACAACACTTTAATTTATGTCTATATTTCCATTTTATCAGTTGACCTAATGTTTATTCTTTTTTTCTGGTACCAGGTATCGAACTCACAACCTCGTGCTTGCCAGGCAGGCACTGTGCTGCTGAGCTGCACTCTAGGATCAGATTTACTTGTCTACTACTATGATCTCATAACAGTTCTTCAGCCTTACTTTTATCACATTGACATTCTGAATATGGTCATCGATTATTTCTCTCTCTCTCTCTCTAGCAGAGTGGTCTCTGTTTTGGGCTTGCCTGACATTTTCTCATGACTGGTCTCAGACGATATATTCAGAGAAAGAATTCTACACAAGCATCTCGGTTTTCACATACATCATTGCTTCTGGAGTCTGAGCCCTTGGGGAGCAGAGGTGTGGATCCCAGGCTGAAACCCCATCACTGCTTGCTTCTCTCTCCTTCCACCCTAATGACCCAGAGAAATAATGGAGGTTCTGTGAGAATGGGCTCAAAGGATGCCAGCTAGAAATCATGCCAAGCGTTTTACCTGGAAACTTACTGGAAAGGAAAAATGAGAACCCACACTTGGGGTACCATAGAGAAGGGGGAAACAGCTAGGAAAAGAGAACTGAGATGCACAAAGAAAGGGACAGAAGTAGGTGACGCATGGAGAGGAGAAAGTGCAGGGAGACCAGCAGAGGAGGTCGGAGGCAGCTGCCCAGGCTCTGTCCCTGGCAGGGGGAGAAAGGGAACACACGGAAGGGCAGGGGAAGGGACAAGCTGACAGAGAGCTTAGGTCAGGGGTGAGGACGCACAGCTCTGTGTGTGGTTGAGGCTTCCCCATGTTCTCCCAGTGTCTAGCTCTGAAATGAGTTTGATTTGATACCTAAGTAGAAGAGCCTCTGGGTTGGGAGATTTTCTCCAAGCCTCAACTATAATGTAGAGGGCAGAGCCAGTGAAGTTCCCCTCTGCCCCCAGCTGGGACAGAGCAGAGGTCTGCTCAAGGCCGTGTCCTTACCATACTTGGTCTCGTTTCTGAGTTGGAAGCATCTCTGCACTTCGGTCATAGTAGGTATCGATGGTCAGGTTCCCATCTGTGTTGTGTGCAGAATGGAAATTGGAAACAACACGGGTTGGGACACCCAAGCATCTCATCACTGAAGAGAAGGAAAAGAAGAGGGTCACAGAACTCATTCTGAGCAGAATTACTGCTTTTTCATGTATAATTTCCTTCTTTTCTTCTTTTCTTTTTTCATTACTGCAAATTGAACTCAGAGCCTTCCCACTGAGCTGTGTCCCCAGCTCTTCTCTGTTTTTAACTTTGAGATGGGGTCTCACTATGTCACTAAGCTGTGCTAGACTTGAACTCGTGGCCTTTCTGCCTCAGCCTCCCAGTGTTGGGATTATGAGTACCATCACACCCAGCCTCTATACCTCATTTCCAACTTTAAAACTGGAGGAGAAAAAGGAGCCGAGATTTTTACAGAGCCTCACCTGTAACTCCTGTATTCCTAGAGCACCACTGCCAGGCCCAGCATTCACTGCCTGCTGGCCCCATAAATGGTTTCCATCTCACAGAGAGAAAGAAATCATTTGAGAGTCACTTACAATAATAATGAACAACCAATTCATCGTCTAGGGCTTTTTCCCACTCAGCAGCTTTCCAAGTTAAAAACAGAGAACTCAAAAAGTCATTTGATAATTAGAAAAAAATGTAAGTCTCCCTGTGCCCTGGCCAGTTTGAAAAAGAAAGCAGAGTGAACTCAGGTACGCGGCCCAGCTCCTCTTGCTATTGCCCTGTGCAGCAGCATGCTGAGCCGGACCAAGTGACTTTCAGCTCTGAAGTTCTGGATCTGCTGTTCCACTTACAGGTAAGAGTCGGGAAGAGAGGGAAAAGAAGGGCACCAGGGAAGGGACAGAAGGGCACTGTTTTGTCTAGAGATGCAATGGCAACTATTGTCAGAGACCTTTGATGAGGCAGTAGCTCTCCCTTGTGGTGTCTCAGGAGAGTGCTACAAAAACCTTAAAACTGAGCAGAGATATTGGACAGAGATCTACCTCTGCCTGGCAACCACAAACCAACCTATTCAGTGGCCATTCTAACAGCTTCCTTCTCCATCCAGCAGACTGCACAGGTCAGCTCCCCGAGACTGACCAGTGTGCTGACAAGCCTGTGGGGGTCATGGGCAAGCCACTGGACCTCATGAGTCATAGGTGGCTTTTCTGAAAAGAGACAATCACAGTCTGGCCTTGGAAGGTCATGAAGACGGAGGAGCTCTTCACTCACCAGTGCACATCACAGAGGCAAAGACCCAGCACTGTCCGTACTTCACAGGCTGCCCGCCCTGAGCTGACCACTGCCGCAGGATGGCCACACTGCCATTCCACTCAAGTGGACTGATGCCTCTGGAGTAATCCTCACCCCAGTTCCCCTCCAGCACACCACTGTCATCATTGCTGTTGATCTGCAAAGGACAGACGCACGATGTCCACAATGCCCACCGGATGAAGATCAAACTGTCCCGGGGACTGTGGGTCTCACCATGGCGCTCACCACCCTGCACACATACACCACGTCGTTCCGCTGGGAATGGTCCTTAGCTGGGTTCTTTAAGAAGTACAGGCTCTTGTTCAGGATCTCAAAGCAGATATCTATGATGTCCTTTTCAAACTTCCAAGGCATTGCAAAGGAGAAAAGAGAGAGCAAAAAGGACTAGACCTCTGAAACTTCAAGTCACTTACAGATTTTAAAGATGGTGTGTATGTATTTGTGGCTGGGCAGTGAGAACTAGATATAAGATATGGCCCTGCTTTTGATGAGCTTAGGGAATGTATTTGACTTGGAAGTCTGAAGAACTAAGCAGTGTGGCAGAACATACAGGGAGAATGAAGAGTGAGAGATCTCTGTTGGCTGAGGAGATGAGAGAAGACAGATGCCTGAGGTCTGTGAGCACATGTGCCCCAAGGACTCGGGACGTCCCCTGGAGGGCTTGTGTGAGCAGAAAAAAATCAAACAGAAAACTCAGATATAGTTGACATGAGAGGAGAGGGAGAAGATGTGGAAAGTCTTGAAATGAGGTAGAGAAGCTCAGAGCTGATGCTGTGAGCACTGGAGAGGGTCGGGGAGGTTCTGTCCAGCCCATGTTTATGATGTATGTCTCCACCCTCTGGCTACCAACTGCACTGGAACCCATCTCAGTTGGAAAGATCTTCACAAGCTGCATTGTTGGAGAATGAGGGGAACGTGACCTTTCTCAGCAAGGCTCCCTGCTTCCCCTGGTGCTTTTCCCTGGAGTCTGTGTCCAGGACTGGGGTGGAAGGAAGCAGAAATCACACCCCCTGTGCTTGGTGCTTGTGAGTTGAAAAGTTGTCCACAGCCAAGAGTCCCCTCTGAACAGTGACTAAAATACTTAATGCTATTAAAGAATTATTGCTCATTTTTTTAGTTCTGATCAGTTTTTCAGAGAGAATCATCTTTAGAACTATGTACTACAGTATTACTAGATTAATATATGATGTTTATCTGTAACTTGCTTCCCAAAAATTCATCAACTAGGAAAATGCAAGTGTATTGGCCAGGGCTGACCACGCTCTTCCAGTAAGGGCGACTAATACTTCAGCCCTGGCAGGACTTGACTCTGTCTCCACGACTCAGCTCTGCATCGTAAGCTGAAAACACCATCAGACAACATCAAAGTGAATGTGACGGTTCCAACTGCATGTTCTTCATGGGCACAAATTTGAATTTCACGTATTTTTCAATGTCATAAAATATTTTTAAAAATTCTTTTAGGCAGTTTTGAAATGTAAAACTCATTCTTCCCTTGTGGACCATACAAAAACATGCAGTAGGAAACATCTGTCTCATGCAAATCTCTGAAATAGACGAAAGAAGTTTCACCATAAACTGGTCACTGTTGAAGCTGAGAAATGTGTACTTGGAGGTTCATCACTGGTTGCTAGTCTGCTTTGGTTAAGTTTAACACCCACAGAAAGAAAACTAAAAAGGAAAGACGCCTCCTAGTCTCTCTTTTGCATAGAAATGACCAACACCTCCCACTGGCCTTTGCCACATCCTTTCTGGGACCATGTTGACAAGCCCACCCCCAGCCCACCTTTGGGAGATGGTGTTACCTGCCCGTAGTTCCAGGGCCAGGAGGTGATGAAACTGTCGTGACCCTTGTAAACAAAGCCATAGTCCCTCATGATGTACTCCTGCAGCAGAGTTTCACTTGGCAAGTACACGTCATCCTCTGGGCAGTTAAAAGCAGTAGAAGAAGCAAAGCCCCAAGCCAAAAAACAGAGCAATAAAATTAAAAAACAGTAATGACAGTGTCTTTCTAGAGAACAGGAGGAATAGTAGATTGATGGTAAAAAAAAAAAAAAAAAAAAAAAAAAAAAAAAACCAGGATTGGGCCCCCTGACAAGTTATTATGTGCTTCTCTAGAGAGGCTACCAATACAATCTATATTTTTAAAATAATTTAAAGTGTAGATTTTAAAAGTTACAAGCTTATTGCAGAGACTTGGAAAATATATCAGGTTCCTTTTTTTGCCCTCCTTTTTCTAAAACATTACAATAAAAATATTTTTAAAAGGAAGTTGTACTGCTTATACACATTAACTATATTAAATATTTCATCTGTGGTCCAAAACTATTTCTTTTCACTCAAAAAAAATTGATGATAAAAATAAAATTTAAAAAAGATCAGGCTGAAGGTTGAACAGGGCTAATGCAGGTGGACAGAGAGACAATGGAAATCACTCAGTCTTGCTATTCAGAGATCCCTGCCATTACATTTTAATACACAGTGTGCTGTGCATTCTCTTCCTGTGCACATATATTTAATATAGTTCGGATCATATTGGATTCCTTTTGCTAAACTATTTCCCTTAACATCACATGAGAAGTATTTTCATTGTGCTGTTAAAAACTGGTAGAGGCTATCTTTAGCAAGAGCACATGGGAAAACACCTAGAAATATATAGAATTTATCATCCTATCTTCCTCAGAAGACCCCTGCAGAGAAATCCCAGTGGGTCAGGTGAGCATCACAACCTGGAGCATCCTACCTGTGCTCCAGGGGTTAAACAGCAGGATGAAAGTGCCCAGCAGATAAGTTAGGCTGTGGCCCTGGCTCTGAGCAATCTCCATCCTCAGCGTGTAGTGACCAATGGCCGCGCTGGCTGGTGTGAAAAGGGAGACTTGGAGAGAGATGGAGTCAACAGTGAAGTCAGACACATTCCAGACATTCCCATGCTGGGCCTGTGTAAGGAAGAACCTGGCTCGGGTCCCCAGCAGCTCCGACGGCTCAGGGCCTGGGTTGGAGACAATGACCCCAAGGAAAGCTCAGAAATCTGTGTATTAAATTTCTCACTTATCCCAACACTTGCTAAGTCTTCTGGTGTAAAGCTCTGGTGACCGCTGAGTGTTTACAGGTAGACCACTTTTAAGATCTCTGGTCCTCTGTTTTTGTCTTTTTAACCTGTAAAATGGGAATCATGATAGTACTTACCTGAAACTGTTTTGTGGGTGTTAAACAGAATCAAGTGTGAAGTTTTAGTACACTGTTTCATTTTTTTTTTTTTCCAGGCAGGGTTTTGCTAAGTCACTAAATTGCTCCTGCTGGGCTCGAAATTTCAATCCTCCTGCCTCAGTTTCCCAGAGTGCTGGAATTACAGGTGTGTACCACCATACCTCACTAGCACAGTGGTTTTAAACATTGGCCGCTATGTCCACAGTGCAGAACTACCAAATCTTTAATGGCACTCACTGGGGAATGAATGTGAAGGTCCTGGGGGTCCCAGATTAGAGAGGGAAGGCAGGGATGCTGCAAGTGAACTTTGTAAATGTCTCTATGCTGAGGGAACCTTCAGAGCTCACCGGTCTCGGCCACGAAGGTGATGTGGTCACTGTGGGGCTGGAAGGGCCGGTTGAAGGCCAACTGGAGGCTGAAGAGCTGGCCTCGGCGCAGGATGAGCCGCTCCACGCCCATCTCCTGTGTGTGGTGCTCCTTGTTGTTCCTGGCGCTGTGCAGGTCCACAGACCTGAGCTCCAATGCTGCCACTAGGAGTGGGGAGGGACAGGTCACTGGCCAGCTCTGACTGGGTTCAAGAGCCCCTGACAATTCTCAGCTATTTCTGTGGGAACCCACTCTGACTTAGGTAAGAGTCCAGTCCCCTTCTTAGCTCTTCTGCTTTCTACCTTCACAACTCAGCCCTACAGGGAAATTAAATAGGTTGGGACCAGGAATGGGGAGGACTTCAAGCCTAGTGACTTCTGCACCCAAACCTGGAGCCACAGTGCTAAAAGACTGAGGCCTAAGAAGACAAACTGGTTCCATATACTAAAAGTTACTTCATCACCCTGACGTAAGAACAAATTTAATTAGAATTCTGTAAGTGAGGTCAGTGGGCTGACTGGAGGCTACAGCCTCAGTTACAGGACAAGTTCCTGCATTAGGTTACTAGGGAGTTTACAACCTGTTTCCTGCTTCTCACCCATTCCAGGCTTATGAGGAGGACACTGGTCACTTTATCAGGTGTACACCTAATGTACGGTTGTGAAATTGTTAGAGTGCAGCGGTCAAGTGTGCAGGCTGTGGAGTGACATGGCTCCGGTCGTCACCTCCACAATTCACTGTGGGGCCTTGAGCAAGTTGCTTAATGTCCCTAGACATCAGTGTCCCCATCTGAAATCTGGAGAGACAATTTTCTTCCTATTTCCTTGAATTCACATAGCAGTAAGAGAGGATGCACATGTGAGAATCTTTGCTTTATGAGAGAGATGGACAGGGTAAGTGCTCAGCCATTACTATCCATTCTTGACAATTGTAATAACACAATCTCTGATTGCATTTGTGTTGCTATTTTTGCTGGCAATGTTTATCCTGTGTTCACTGTCCAAAACCCATTAGGTCTTTCTCTAAGTAGAACATCAAATTAACCCCAGTTATTCTCCACAAGGGATATGGTTCCCTGGAGGATGCTTGGTGATGCCCAAATGTTGCTGTGGCTGTGGGGATGCAGCTGACCAGCATCCTAGGGAAAAATCATGATGGTTGTTGTGACCTTTGCATTTTGAACTTCCACATAGATTCTCTGTTTCTGACTCTTTCCTAACTGTTGCAATGTTTTGTATCCTAATTCTTTCACCTGGATGCTTTACTTTGCCATCAGTATGTTGGTAAACTGTTTTCTAGGTCTTCATCCAAGTCACTGGGCCTAGATAGTTTGACACATTAGGGTTTAAGTCTGAGGCCAATGGAGTATCCTCAGAGCATCCCTCCAGATTCATAAAGGGCCACTGAGCAATACTAGCTATGAATGCACATAAATACTTACATAAAGAAGTTGAATTAGATCCTTTAAAATTTTTTTCAAAGTCCAAAAATCAAATCCAGCTTTTGTGTTTTTATCTTTTCTACAAGTTTGCTAAATGTCTGACTGAAAACAGAACATTTGTAAAGCTCCTTTGATCCATTTCTAGGAACAGTCTTTTCTTGGAGTAGAATCATCAACAGTAATTTTTTGGGTCAAATGGTATACAGTTTTTAACCCTCTTCCTATACATTGGGCATTTAAGTAGCTATGCTATTGGAAAGAGAAAACTCAAGGAAGATCTCAGACAGACCCCTTTGAGTTACTTAATGGCATTTTTAAAACATTGGGCCTGACACATTAATAGTTTATGGAATCAAGGTGACCAATGTTTAAAGAAAAGAAGAAAAGAGATCACAATGCACTGTACAAAAGAGACCACAATGCACAATGTATTTAAGAAGAGAAATTATAATTTTATGTGCAACTGGGCCATAGCATAAATTTTGGATCATTATCAAAGGTGTGAAAGCAGCTGGCCTAGATCTGTTGGAAACTAGTTACATCTCACTTGTTTCTGAGGGGTGTGAAATGTTCACAGCAGGATCTCTGAGCCTTCTCAGGAATCCGCTCCATTCTCTACCTCCTTCCCAGAAGCCCATCCACCTTGAAAAATCTATACCCAAAAAGGCAGTAAAGTGCATATGGGAGACTTTACGGGCCCTGGAACAGCCCTTTCCTGGCTGCTGTTCACAGCTTGACATAGTTCCCAAGGACAAGCAGTACTGTTCGATTTACCCAGACCTCTCTGAGTTTGGAAAGGAAAGAGGAGCAGAAATGATGCCATCTTCCTCTCTGTCCCCAAAGTTGCAGTGCACAGAGAATGTCTTCTCCATTAGGCATTTAAGTTTTCCTTCTATTCCACTTAACACAATTATGCACTTGGCTCACTGATGGCTTTTCATGTCAAAGAGACAGTGTCTCAAGAGAACAATAAGAAGGGCTTCCACAGGCGCCAGGAAAGAAAGCTGAGAGAATCAGGAAGAGGCTCAACAGTGCAGGAAATCCAGCAGCATCACTTAGAAAAACATGCCAGCACCCACAAGTCTGACTTGGCTGCAGTCCCTCAGCAGTTAGCGACATGAGTCAGAGAGGCGAGCCCCAGACATGAGACTCCTTGTGCTTGGCTGACTAACAGAAAGAGGAGTAGAAATGATCAAGGCATATCCTGGTATATTATCAGTGTTTGAACAACACAGGAGACATTAAAACATCATTTGCTTGTGAGGAATTATGAGAAGCGTTGGACATGGTGACACATGCCTGTAAGCCCAGCACTCGGGAGGCTGAGGCAAGAGGATCACTGCAAATTTGAGAACAGCCTGGGCTACAAAGTGAGTTCGACTAGCCTGAACCACATAGTGAGACCCTGTCTCGAAAAAACCAAAAAGAAAAAAGAAACAGAATTGTGAGAAGCGAAACTCCTGTCTTCTGAGACAGCTTGCCTGCGTCCTCACCGAGGCTACACTGCGCGGAGCTTTCTTTGGCTGTGGACTATGAAGCTCCACCTCTCACCCTCATACCACCTTCTTTATTTGGTGCAGAGCATTTGATAAATTCAGAATCAGTTTCACAGAAGCTGAGACCTTTGTCATTTTCTTGAGCCCAGATCCCCCATTCCTAAAATGAAGGATGGTACCCAATTTTTGAAAAGTATAGGTAACGTTCCTGGAACACTTAGAATAGGCCAGTCACTATCTGGAGCATTTTACGCGTCTGCAATCATTAATATTCTCATAGCACTCAGGGCCGTGTTAACATTACTCCTGATAGGTAGGTGCTGGGCAGAATGGAGGCTCAAGCCCAGGTAAGCTGGCTCCATAGCTTGCCCCTGACCTTCGCAGCCCCTGCCTTCCCAGGTGGGAGCTCAGCGGTGTTCACTGAGCTGACCAACACTTGTGCACATGAGGTTTAAGGAGTAATCCAACAGAAGAGTAGGAACAAAGGATTACTATTCATCATAGATAAATGTTAAGATGTTAAGAAGACATTCTTACTATAATCACAGAAATGCAAACTGAAATAATAACAATATCTATAGTTGAACTATTCAAAATATTTAAAAGAATAATAATCTACTTCATTGAAGGCATATGGAAATGGATTTCTCATATAAGGACAATGAGAGTGTAAGTAAATTCATACAAACTTTTTAGAGAAAATCAGCTAATAACCACCAAGATTTAAAGCAGATGTTGCCTTTGACCCAACAGTTAATCTTCCATATAAAAATGTTTGTACATGTATGGAATTATTTTGATGCACACACCCATTACAGTATTGTTTATAGAAGCAATATTAGTAACAACCTAAACGACCATCAATAAGGGATAGTAACAAACTAAATAAACTAATAAACATATGAAAGAAATTATCCCTATTATGCTGGAATGAAAAACTATGTTACTAAAAATTTGGTGGGGGTACTGGGAATGGAACACAGGACCTCATGCTTGCCCGGCAGTAGCTGTGCTGCTGAGTTATATCCCCAGCCCCTAGAAATTTTTATAGGCTAATGTGAATCAACTTGAAAAGATTTCTAAGAGGTGTGATTAAGGTTTTTTAAGAAGTAACTAGGCAAAACGCTTCATACAATTTCATTTACGTAAGAGAAACAATTTTGCGCCATCTAGTACTGTTTGGCAGCAACTGAGCACGTTGTTCATGGGCTGAAGCAGGACTGGGAGCACACATGCACATGAAGGGAGGCAGCTCGGGCTGTGAGGGAGGAGAGGAGACCAGGCTGGAAGGCACCGGGGCCAGGGTGAGCAGGGCTGTTAACTCAGTTGAGGGGCTCCTGTCTGATTTGGTAGTGATGAGTCTGTCTATCCCTATGGGGAATAAATTATCCTGAGGGCAACTTATCAATATCACAATTTATTTATTTGTTTGTTTATTGAGACAGGGTCTTGCTCTGCAGTTCAAAATGCCCTTGAATTTACTTTGTGACACAGGCTGGCCTTAAACTTGTACCAATCCTCTTGCCTCAGCCATCACATCTGGCTATTTATTTCTTTATTTTTTGGACAAGGTCTTTCTATGTAGTTCAGACTGGCATTGAACTCACTATGTAGCCCAGGCTGGCCTCAAACTTGCTGTAATTACAGGGGTGCACCACCATACCTGGATTGTAAAAAAAATTTTTTAAGCCTTAAAACTTCAATACCTTTGGGGCTGGGGATTTAGCTCAGTGGCATAAGCTACTGCCTTGCAAGCAGGCAGTCGTGAGTTCGATCCCCGGTACCGATAAAAAGGAAAAAGACAAAAAAACAAAAACAAAAAAACTTTAATACCTTTGACCTATAAATTCCTCTTCTAAGAAAGTCTTTCCTTTCCTAGGTAAATTATTCAATCAAATGGTACAAAGTTATTAAGCCTCTTCATGTAATTTGAGCATTTAGTAGAATAATGTCCAAGATACATGCTTAGATTTCTAAGATTTTCACTTGTTCACAAAAATGTAAGCATAAGGATGTTCAATGTGACTTAAATATTCTACAATAAGAGCTGGATATGTAAACTTTATTCCTTTAATCTGATGTAATCAACAAAGGCATTAACAGCACCAACATCAAAAAGGAGAAACTAATCCCCTAGATATTAAAAAGCAAAAAAATGGTAGAACCGCAGTGTGTTATGGATTATCTTTGGGTAATAGAATTGTGAAAAAGATTTTCAGTGTTTTCCCAGCTTTTCTTTTTTCTTTTTGTGTTTAGAGGAACCTGTTACTCTGATTACAGGCAGGTTTTTGAGTGTAAGTAGCAGGATTGAAGCTACACATTTGGATTAATTCAGCTCTGGTAAAGCAGTGAGATGTCTGTCAAAACAGCCAAATTCAGAGTCTAATGGGAGAGGAGAAAAAGGCCCACTCTCTGCATGAGGGACTGGCATGTGGCAAACTAATAAATGCAGGCTGAAATACCCTCACTTGCAGGGCTTCCCAAGAGCCAACAGGAGCAAAGAAAGGCCAGCCAGCACAGAGGGCCACAGCCAACAAGGGCCCATGCAGCCAGGCCATTTGAGAAGGCCTGGAATGTGCCAGGTGAAGGCAGCAAATGAAGAGTGATGCCTGGCACAGGCAGCAGACAGAATGGCACCAAATGCCCAGTGGAGCCAACTCTCTTCCTTTTGCCTTTGTCTTTGAGTATATTCCAGCTTCTTCTATTTCTGCATTTCTCATCATTATTATAGGCTTTAGGGCTTTTACAAATACTTCATTCTTATCCTAGAACTCCTATTTAGTCACCGTTTTGAGAGGCTGAGGCAGGCAGATTCCAATTTAAGCTCAGCCAGGGCAACTTAGTGACTTAGTGAGACTCTGCCTCTAAGTAATTTATTGAAAAAGGGCTGAGGATGTAGCTCAGTGCAAAGGCCATGGATTCAATCCCCAGTGCTAAAATATAGTTTCTTCGTTATTTTTCATTTTTCCCTTTTAAAAAATGTGAAAGGATACGTACGTGTGAGTACATATGAAGACTTCTATGTGGCAAGATTACTGTAGTGTTCTGTGCCCCTTTAAGTGTCCTATTACTTGAAATTTCAAATCCAAATTTCTTAGTCAAGGATTCAGTGGCCTCCAGAGGTCCTAATACATCCTCAATCTTATCTCCAAATGGCCCATACAATCTCTTCTTTATTCATGGGCAGGCTCCAAATACATCATGCTCACCTCTGGGCAGCTCCTGCCTCCTCCCTAGTCTCTTTTTGTTTGCACTGGAGCAGTTAGTTATTCAAGCAAAACTCAGCATCCCCCTCCTCCCTGAAACCTTTCCCAAGCATTTCAGAATATGGAGGTGTCTTAATACCTGCAACCATAATTTTATATCTACCTAATCTTTACTAACGCTAATTAAGCTCCAGGCTTTGCATGCATCTTCTTCTCCTCTCCCTACAACTACCCAGTTAGAGATTACCAACTCTGTGTAACAGATGAGCAGGAAAGTCATCGGTGAGGTGAGGTAACTTGTGCAGTGTCACCTATCTAATACGTGACAGAATTGGCATTTAAATCTAGATATTGACTTCAGAATCTAGCTCTTCACCTCCACCCAGAGTGGGTGGAGTAGAGGTTTTCAGACCATTTTTCCCCCACAGTGAATTTTCTGCTTTTTTCAAACGAAAAAAATAAACAGATTTTAAGAGAAGCTATTCTAGTAGAAGAACCACGCAGACCTCCACTGCCCCCTCTTACAGCAGGCATCTGTGTAGCATGTAAGGGGTTCAAAACTACACAATGAAAACCACAGGGGTGGTGCACACCTGTAATACCACCACTCTGAGAGGCTGAGGCAGAAAGATCACAAATTCAAGGTCAGTCAGGGCAACTTAGTGACTTCTGAGAATCTTTATGCAAAAATGTAAAAAGCTTTGAAGGGCTGGGACTGTAACTCAGTGTACTTCTATCCCCAGGAACGATCTCTCTCTCTCTCTCTCTCTCTCTCTCTCTCTCTCTCTCTGTCTCTGTCTCTCTCTGTCTCTCTCTGTCTCTCTCTCTCTCTCTCTCTCTCTCTCTCTCTCTCTCTGCCCTAGCTCAGCCTCCTCATTCTAAGGTGCCCAAAAAAACAAACAAAGAAAAAAATGCAGAAGTCTTGAAGCAGCACAGCAGGACAGGACAGGACAGCTCCAGGACTCAGCAGATCTGTCTCCCTGCTTGGCAATTTCTTGGGCTCTGTACAGTCTATTTTTCAGCTAATTACTGGCTACTGGTTTGTTTCCTTGGGATATCACTGTTGCTTACTGGTATCCACATGACTGACTTTTTTATTGTTCATATCTCATACCCAGCAATTCTAATAACTGTTGGCAAGAGAAAGGTGTTCCCAGACCACTGCACCAGTTAAATCATTAGCTCTTTTTCTCATGTACAGAGGATTATCATTCACAATATATAAAAGTTGCTCTAAATACTAAGGAGATAGCCTTGCTGTCTGCCTAGTCAAGGAAATGCAATTGAACCCATATTGAGATTCATTTTTGACCCATTAAAACATTTAAAAGAATACACTAACCTATTTTGTTGAGGGACTGTTTCCTACACTGATGGTGAGAGTATAAATTCATGCAGGCATTTTAGAGAAAATATGTGGATTATCCACCCAAACTGAAAGCAGAGATTGCCTTTGCTCCAATACTTGTTCTTTTATCTAATATAAAAATATCTGCGCACAGACACAGAGTTATATCAACAGGAACATCCATTGCAGCACTGTTTATAAGAGCAAATATTAGAAATGATGAAAGTATCCATCAATAAAGGGGTAGTAACAAACTAAACAAATTAATGCTGTTAGGTCTGAGGAGGGGAAGAGGGGGAAGGAGTGGTCAGCGGTGGTGGCTGAAAAGAAGTATAAAATTTAAGTAACCTTTATTTTGGGAATGCGGGGAGAGACCCCCGAACCCCCGGGGCGCAGCATCTCCACCCCGGGGCTGGCGATCTCTCTCTGGAACACTCTGTGGAACACGTGGAGTGAAGCACATAAGTAGCCTCGGCCTGGGGTGGAACCCAGGGGGTATTAGGGATGCACAGGTAGCCCATTGGTCTTAGTTTGGCACCAGAGGTAGGTTTGTAAGGGTGGGGGTATAGGGTTACAGGTAAATCTCTAGGGGCGGGGGAGGCAGGAGCTCCCTAATTCCAGCTGAGGCTTTTCCTGGCTAAAGTGTCTTGTCTGGGCCAGCAACGTTTTCAAATGCCTTTTTAAATAAATGCATTAATATCCTCAGAGTGGAAATTGTAATTTATTAAAATTTTTTGACAAGCTAATATACACTGAAATGGGAAGATCTCCAAGATATATAATTAATAGTCTAAAAATCAAGTCATCAAATAATATGTACTACATACTCTCGTTTGTGTAAAATAATTTTGTATAAGGTAGCATCATTTGGAAGTAGTTGATCAAATGATTAGTGGTGCTCTCCTGTGGGAAGGAATAGGGTTGTGAATATTTATGCCAGGTCCTTGTGGGCCTCCTCAGACTTCCCAGAGCCACTCCAGGCTCAGAGTTCTTAAAAATTGTATACAGCTTCAAGAAAGAAGACGAGTAGCCATATTATTCGTGCATCGAGGTCCAAATGAGGGTGGGGAAATAGGAAGGAGCTGGAATACGCGATCAGCCTGGATGCTCCTGTCTCTTCTCCTCACCCCTTACTCTCTCTAGACTTCCCCCTCTCTTGCCTTAGCACTCCAGGAAAGTTACACAGATTGGCAGGACTCACCTGGCTCCATCTCTCTCCTCCTGTTGGCCGAGGCCCTTCAACTAGTCAGCCTTAGGACTGCAGGCTTAATCGCTTTCAGTGCTCAGCCAAAGAGAGCCCTTCACTTCCCCCTGCCCCTCCCATCTCTCCTCTGACAGGAAAGGAGCTCTGCTTAAGCCTTTAAATGTTTGCTGAGGAATTTGCTTCTGTTGCCTTCTGGTTAGGCAGAGAGGACTCCCACATGGTGTGGAAAGCTAAGCTCTGCTCCCATCCATCCCATAGCACTGTCTCTTCAAACCCGAAAACCCATTCACTCTGATCCAGTGCAGTCAAGCATCGCCCAGTGGTGTCAGTGCTGGGGCTAGGAGTGAAAACGTAGCTGTCCTGAAGAAGGTCTTACATGAAGTCACACGCACATGCACACACACACAGAATTTGTACAACCCATTAAGATAAGGACAACATTGAACCTTGAAGAAAAACAAAGCACACTGAAAATTTTAATCTATACTGTAGATTAAAAACAAAGTTTGTGAAAGTTTCCAGTGGCAGGGGAGTATGACAGGACAGTAACTAAGGAAAGAAAAACACAAAATCAGTGTAGCTAATTCCACGGTATAAAAAATACTATTTGTACAGATAGGCCTATTTTTGAAAGATGGAAAAAAATTTAAGAAACCAGGACTGTCTAAGAGCAGAGAGATCATAAGTGATTTATGATTTCCCTGTGCATATTTTACTGAATCAGCAAATTTCCACAGTAGGAGTGTAAGATGTTTTTAATCAGGAAGGAGAAACATATTTAAGAGAAAGTGAGTAGAGGGGCAGGAAATTGAAGGCAGGCCATCTGGACATGTAAACATGTGTTACTGGATTCATCATGTTTTGTTTTTTGAGGCAGTGTCTTGCTGGTTCAGGCTGGGCTTGATCTCACTATGTAGCCCAGGATGGCTGCAAGCCCATGACCTCTCCTGCCTCAGCCTCCCAAGTGCTGGGATTACAGGTGTGCGCTGCCACACCCAACACAAAACTCACAATTTAAAGAGAGAAGTGGAAGTATGAATTCAACACTCCTTGCAGGAAGGACTGTAGTTTTGTCAGAGAATAAGTACTGCAGAGAAAATGTAAAGCCCCCAACACGTTTGCTGATCATCATCAAAGGTATGCAAGACCTGCTTAGTTCCCTGAGCTAACCTGTGTGACTCACTGAAAATGCCTAAATCGATTGTAACCAAAGCTTTGTGTCACAACCCTTTGTCATTGAATGTGCCAAGTGAATTGGGGAAAGAGTCCTAGTTGAATGCATCACACTCACTCATTACTAAGAATTACTGTGGTCTTTACTTTGTCAAAGTTGCTCTACTGTGGCTCAGGAAAACAGCTGATTACTTGTGTCAAGAATATTTTATAGCAGAAATATATATGTCTTTGAGGAAGGCAAAATTAAAAACTTTTTGTAATAAAAGTCCTAATTCATATTAAAGACATTTTGAGTATAGAATTTTTAAATTGGTAAAAGAAAGTATAAATTTTAATAAGTTCTCCCCAACTTTTTTTCCCCACTGCTCTGTATTGAAACCAGGACATTTGCACTGAGCTATATCTTCAACCTTCTTTTCAAAATTATTTTGTATTTTGAAGCAAGGTCTTGTAACAGTTCTGAGAGCCAGGAAAGGGAGCTTGGCGTGAGATGAAGACTCTAAAGGTGACAGGAAGCCCGTAAGAGTTTTAAATAGTGGAGTGAAATATCAGATTTGTTCAGAAAAGATCCTTCTACTCTGACTCTAGTGTGGAGGCTGGATGGAGTGGGAAGCCACGGGAAGAGACCCACTGAAAGATTCCTGTGGTAAATCATCCAAGTGAGACTTGAGGGAGGCCTGGAGCAGAATAGTGTCATCAGAACTGTTCTCGGTGGAGGATTCTAGAGGCATTAGAAAATTGGGGTGGGGTATAGTTCAGTGATAGAGTATTCGCCCGCCTTGTATGAGGCCCTGATTCAATCCCCAGTGCCACCAAAACAAATTGTCAAGCCACGCTGATTAATAGAATATGTAGAGTGAGGGAGAAGGCAGAAAAGAGGGGCTGCTGCCTCAATTCAACAATTGACTGCTGGGTCAGTTCTTTTGAAGCTGTTCTGTAGCAACCTTCAGTGATCCTCCCATTTCACTGCAAACTGCTCTGCTCATACGACTGCACCTGCATCCAGGATAGCTGGGAAATGCAGTCTTTTCCATGGCGGCAAGGATTCCAACTAGACAAAGTCTTACTATTAAAGAACACACAGTAATACATGCTACTGGCTATCTCTGGGACAGTGAACTGCCCTGCTGTGTGCTTCTTTTTTTCTCGTGGGCTCATCTCAGAGCATGGCCCTAGAGAAACCCAGAGCTGACTTCACCAGGGCTTGGAGTTTTATCAGTGAATGGCATGAACATGCTAACAGCAAGACTAAAATTGCCATGACAGCATGACTAAAGTGAAGGACTTGGCCAGGGGTTTAGCTCAGCGGCGTAAGTGTCTGCTTGCCAAATGCGACATAGTGAGTTCAATCCCCCACACCAAAAAAAAAAAAAAAAAAAAGAGAGAGAGAGAGAGAAAATAAAGTGAAGGATTTTTTACAAAACTGGATTGGGAGAAAAGTGGAGCAGAAAGAAGCTGATGGGTAGAAAGAAAATGGAGACCTTAATTACCTGGACATCTTGATGCAGAGGAATTAAGTTTCCTGTACAAGAAATGAGGTGGGCAGCCTTGGACAACACGAGAGTGTGGTGGAGAAGAAGTGAGGCTGGGGACAAACAGCAGATAAGAGAATGGCTTTCTGAAACTCAGTGATGATCAGGGAGACACAAGAATCTATCAAATCTGGATTCTTGATTTCTTGATTCTTTTCTTTTTTCTCCCTACCCATTCCATTTTTGTACAAGTCTGAAGCTGCAACTGAGTGCCCACACATGGCACCCTCACCTTGTTCCCGTGGCCCACACTGAGCCCCAGCTCTTTCTGCAGCAGCTGGTGAGACCTGACAGAGTTGCATCAGGAATCACTCATGTTCTACCCCAGGGCTCCTGTGACCTGCTGGGCACTCCCAGTTATGCAAATCTGGAGAGTGGAGGAAGCTAATATGTCCTGGGGAAAAATCTTAACCTTTGGAGACCAGGATCTGGTAAGTAAATGCTTGCCCTGGCCTCTCTGAGGGTGGACAATTCTTTACCACTTTCACGACTTTCCAGTGTACATGCCAATAGGATCTGGTGTATTCCGAGGATGTACAGCTTCCACCACTGTCTAATTCCAGACCATTTTCTCCATTTCCTAAGGAAACTCCAGATTCATTAAACCACCACCCTGCAGTTCTCTTTCCCCCAACCACAGGAAATCACCAATTGATTTTCTGTGTCTATAAACTTGCCTCTTTGAGATATCACACAATAATGGACTCAGGCAATTATTTTGTGTCTGGACTCTTTCTTTTAGCAAAATGTTTTCAAGGCTTATCCATATTATAGCTTGAATATAGCTCATTCCTTTTTATGGATAAATAATACTTCATTGTGGGCTATATCCCATCTTGTTTGCTTCTCAGTTGTGGGGCATTTTGGTTGTCTACGCCTTTAAGCTATTGTGAATAGTACTGTTGTGCATGATGACATCTTTTTATATTGGCTTTTCTACCTGCCTGTCAGTGTGGGAGACTGAATACTGTATAGTCCGGGGACAGAGAAGCCCTTTGGAGATCTGGACAAAAGCAGCAGATAGAAACAGGTGGGCAGGCATTTGAGAGACATGGAGAGTGAGAACTAGTAGGATTTGGTGACAGTGTGAGAGATAGGAACCTGATGATGGGAGAGGAAAAATGGGGATGATACTGAATTTTAACTTAATGTTTTAAGTTGTTGCTATTTTAAAAGCTTAAACTTCTTATGATTTGGACAGCTAGCATGTTAATAATTGCTGTGTTACTAAAGCCCACGTTAATCTTACCACCTACGATGACAGGTGTTTCCAAATTCCCGAAAGCAACACCACCCTTAGAGTTTGAAGAGTGATGGGGCAAATGTTTTTCGCAGGAATTCTGTCTAAATAAGAAAAACTTAAATCTCTCCTGGTCAGTATGTGAGCATTGTTTTCACTGCTCAATCTTGCAAGATTCCCTCAAAGAAATACGTAGACTGGTTATAGTGATCTACTTGCCAGGCTGCCCATGATGTCCTCACATACATATGCTCAGGGTTGGCCTCACAAATGTGAGTCCTGGAGCTCCTCTAAGTGTCTGGTCACCCCTACATGTGGGAGTGAGGGAGAGGTGTTGACATCCAGCTCGTTCTGAAGCAGGAATAGTAGCAGAGGGAAAACAGGAATAGTAGCCCATTTGGGACCATGTTGAAGCTGAGCAGTACTGCTAACCTTTCAAGATACGCTTAGAAAACTTTGAGGTGCATGGTCCAACTCACCCAGATTTAAGGCTGGTAGCTTCAACTGATCTGGAATTAATGTGAACTTCAGAAAACAGGACAAGAGATGCACCCCACTTTCCAGGTACCATGCATAATACTTGCTTTATCTGACCCTTACCAGCACCTTGGCAATTAAGTAATATTGAAGAAAAAAGTCTCTCCCCAAAACACTGCATCACTCCCCTTAAATCATCTAGCGGTAGATCCAGACTAAAATGTGTTTTTTTTTTTCTATACCCTATGTGATGATCATGAAGGAGCTCACCATTTCTACTCCTATTTGAAGGATCTACAAGATTCTGCTCTCTGGCTGCTGGACATTCTCTAACTGACCAAGCACATCTCACAGAGTTTCTGTAACTAGGTTTTAGCCGTGGCCCAAAGCCCCTCCTGATCTCCTGACAGGCAGACAAAGGGCTAGGCAGGGTGTGCCTTCCTTGACTCACATCCCATGGTACCATGGCTCTTAGGGCCTTGTCACAGGCCTAAGGACTCCTCCTGTGCCTGACAGTTTCCTCCTGTTATTTGGGGAAGGTTCAGCTCATACATGGAATGAACCTGAACAACTCCCTGAACAACTCTTACGCCAGAGGAAAATCCATCAGGATGGGTGACGGAAAGTTTATTTAGAACCTGTCATGAAATCCGATTATGATCATTGTGCATCAATTTCGAGTGTGGTTAATGAT